TTCCTTAGTTTTACTAACCTTAATATATAACCTTGGTTTATTATCTTCTCTTCCTTAGCTTTACTAACCTTAATATATAACCTTGGTTTCTTATCTTCTATTCCTTAGCTTTACTAATCTTAATATATAACCTTGGTTTATTATCTTCTCTTTCTTAGCTTTACTAATCTTAATATATAACCTTGGTTTCTTATCTTATCTTCCTTAGCTTTACTAACCTTAATATATAACCTTGGTTTCTTATCTTTTCTTCCTTAGCTTTACTAACCTTAATTTATAACCTTGGTTTCTTATCTTCTCTTTCTTAGCTTTACTAGACTTAATATATAACCTTATATAACCCCTACTAACTGAAAACCTTTTGGAATTTATATGTTTTACCTATACGTATTTTTAAAGCATGTTCAAGTTCTAAAACTAAAATGTTAAGAAGTTGACTATAATTGTGTATGCGCATTGTTGTCAACCATTAACTACAAGACCCCCCCCCGTCCATCCATGTAATGTCGTCTTTAACTTAAAATCCCCTCTCGGAGACACCAAACCAAATAATTTATGCCCCATTTTCTTTGTCCTGGTAACGGAGTCTAAACACTTTTGTTAACCATTAATTTCAAAACCTCTATAAANACCAAATAATTTTTGCCCCATTTTCTTTGTCCTGGTAACGGAGTCTAAACACTTTATTATTGTGAACAAAATATTTTCATACAAAGAATTAGTGAATTTCGTTAACAATTAATTGTCATTCTTTTCAGAAGTTTTAATACATAAAAACGTCTTAGGACTCCCCGACAGTTTAACCTTCTTATCCCCAAATAGATCGCAAGAATCTTTTCATTGTAAAATTACAAAACTTGTAACAAATTCATGCATTATTATCCATTTCATTTTTTTAGGAAATAAAGAGTTTTCTGCATTATCGGTTTTGATTTGAGGGTTATTCCGTTGTCTATCTGTTCATCATTGAGAATCTTGTTCCTGTCCGACAACAATTGTACCTTCATATCTATACAACTAATATCAATTGTGTAAACTTTTGATATTTCAAGTTAGACTATTTGATCCTACAGATTTTATTGTTTGAAATATAAAATTTCCAAGACATCTGATACAGGGGTTAGAAAATCAATGTACAACTTCTTTTTGTGTAATTTTGTTTAATTTGTTTCTTTCCATGTAAAAATAAATTTAAAGAATTTAAACACTAAAATATTTTTTTTATTATTATTTTAATTATTCAAATACACTGGCTTGAAGAATAATGAGTAAGAATGTTGCAGCAGTGCCTACAGCACCTGTTCACACCACCATCACAATTTTCTAAAAGCCTTTAAGATCAGTATAATAAAAGACGACATTTAGTTGTATCCTTACTTGAATATCATTAAACTCATATTAATTTTTGATCATTTGCTGTCCCAGTGTTAGGACTGGGCAAATTTCCGTTAACAAAGCTGAGGTATTCAAACATTAACGCAAAAGTTCGTTAACAAACGGCAAAAATCGTTCATTTTTAAATCAATAACGAAACAGATTAGCCATTTAAAAAAAATAATGGTTGAACACGAAAACAAATTGAACAAATTTAGGCATTTTAAACCGGTTAATTTAGTTTTTTTCCTAAAATTGCAAAGAACTTTTTAAATTTTTTAATTTTTAATTTACACGTTTTAAATTTTACTTGTCGTTAATACTGCAATATACCAATGTCATAAACTTTAACATAAAATTTAGAAAAAAAGAAAAATGCCATAAACAAAACGAAGGTTCCGTTCTTACCTTTATAATTAACGTCTATCTGAAAGTGTTCTTTTTTAACGGTTTGAACTAACCGTTAACGAAACAGCTAGAAAAAGCTGAAACGTGCCCAGCCCTAGCCAGTGTCCCTAAATTTAAGGTTCAAGGTAGTTTTGAACATAAATGCAAAAAACGAAATGTTGTTTTTAATCGAGATCTTGCTTTAAACAGCTTCAAATAATATTGGTGGTGGTGTGCCTAGCACTGAAGTTCGATCAGCTGGAAAGAATCCCAAAGCTGTTAGTCTTGTCTTGCTATCAATGTTGTGCATAACTAAACAGATATATGTCTCACAGGGCATTAATAAAGTTCATTTTATTTTATTTTGTAAACTTACATTTGTTTATTACAACTCATTGTTGCTGAAAAGCTATTGATAAAGGTAATCTGGGTTTTTAAAATCTTTTTATGTTTTGTTTAGAAATAACTGAGTATCTAATGATTTAAAAGATAGCCTTTTAGATATTAGATATTGAAATAATACCTAGCAAGTGCTTAAACTTGAGGTCAAGGGAACAAGCCATAAACGCAGATCTAGAAAATTGATGTATGCAAGATTATCAAAATGAGTTATGATTTACCCTTTGATAAAACCTGTGGTATGAATTTATTTGCATTAGAGCCTCATAGCAGTTCTCAGCTAAGTCAGAAATATTTAAGAGTATGATAAATAGAGAAGCAGTGATTAACAAATCTGCAGAGCCCAGAATAAACTTGCCATCATGTCCAAGTATATGAATGGCATCATGAATGACAGTCATAAGCAGGAAAGTTATCATTGAGAAGAAAATAAAAAGAACAGGGCCCATGCCGATCTTGAGGTTGTTATAGGCTTCAATGGTTTCTTCAGATAGGATAGTCAGACGTACTGCACTAATATTCTTCAAGTCTTTAACCGAGTTGATAAAGTCCTCACCAATAATGTTCACAACAAATACTGTAGAATTTACCAAATATGCAAGTGTCAAAAAAATCTATGAGTAAAAATAATTTTTCTATTAATCTATTTTAAAATACAAAGAAATTCCTCTATTTTTGGAATTTGGAACACAACTAAGCCAATCCTACCCCTTTAAGGAATCTTATGAGTATATATATATACAAAATATTTATAGGGGGTTTTATTTTAGAAAAATCAATAAAAGATAACCGTTTTTTTGGCTGACATTGCTATAATTTATAGTTTGAATTATTATTGACTTAGCTGTGATTTTAATTTGACAAAAAGGAATTGAGTCTTTGTCACACACTATGATTTTCTAATCTTTATATCTTTTTAATCCAATTGCGTAGACCTTAGATATTTCAAGCTATGAATTCTGTTAGATGAAAAAATATAAGTTTAAAATATCAAAGGTTTACACCATCAGGTGAAAAAAATATAGGTATTAGAAAACCAGAGTTTGTTCCAAAGACTCAATTCCTTTGCTAAAAAAACAGTAGCACCATTCAAGTGGAATTCTTTGACATCTTTTATGTTGAATAAGATGCATGGATTTAAAGCAAATACTTCCAAAATATAAAAGGGCGTTTTATACATGTTTACATATATGCAGAGTACAAACTTCTTGATAAATTCCTGATTCCATATCTTCCACTATTATAGGACAATCTTAGATATAAAGTAAATTAAAAATTCTAATAATTCTAGTGCATTTTGACAACCCTGAATTCAAAACCACAAAGTCATTGACAGTATCCGCTAGAACTGATGTTAGCCATATATAAAAGGTCCAGGTCTCTGGGTAAGCAAAATAGTTCGCTATGCTCAGTACCCTGTTTGCTACACTAAGAGATATCAGTAGTGTTATCTCTGTATAGCATGAAATACGCAACTCCTTTTTCTTATCAAGGGTTTGGATATTTTTCAGAAGATATCCTGATTGCACAGATTACACAGATAGAACCATATTATATGCCGGTTAAATTTTTTAGAAAGACCACTCTGGCTCTAGATTTTACATGCTTTTCATTGCCTTTTAAGTAAAATTTGAATATGGATATGTTTTCTTTATTTGTAAAGTAATGGATACCAGGCACGATATGAGACCAGTGCAGTGAAATATTCATTTGTCATTTGTAAATGTACAACATATTTTTAAATTGATATGCCCTCGAGGCCGAACTTTCAATCCTTCATGTTTGCAAACATTTTTTTTACAAATATTACTCATTGTTACAATTTGATTCAATTTCAGTGCAGTGGAGGTTTACATGTGAAAATTCAGTAAGGATAAACTTTTGTCCTATCTGAGTAAATCTATGAATTATGCCTAGAGACAGTGGAAGGAATAGAACAAGGGCAGCTTTACATGATCTCCACACAGTTTCAGCAATTATATCATCCACTGGGATACCGGAGGTGAATATATGGTAGTAGAACGGATAGTAGGCTCCTATTCCAAGCAAACTCCATACAACAAGACTAAACAATACCCTCACAGAAATAAACCTGAGATGATTAACAGCTATTGCTTTGCTAAATCTACATAACCATGGTACCAACTGCATAATGGCCATAAGTGTTATCACAATACTCAATAAATCGGAATGTAGTAAAACTCTAAAATTTACTTAGTTTAACAGAGCCCATGATTTAAAAACTTCGGCTTGAGCCGTAATTCCTTAAAATCGACTTTAAGACCCAATCTTCGACCCAACTTTGACGACAGCTTGTGTCCATACAGAATAGAATATATAGAGAGGAATTTACTAGAAAAAAGTGTAAAACGGCCATTTTGTTGTACTGTTTCCATACTGCAGGTGTACTTAACATATTTATGCTATATAACCTGTTGGGCCCTGGAATATCATTTTATAGAAAATCTAAAATTATTGTAAAAGAAAACCAAATTATGAAATAGGCTGGTTTCATAATTGACCAATGATCATTTCACATAGACTCTATGCCTTCCACTTTACAAACGATGATTTTTCGATATAACTTTAAATCAAATGATGTTTTTATTCACCTAATTTGTTATAAAGTTTATTTAACAGTTTAAAAAATTCGAAATTGAAATGAATAGTCTAGGGAACATACTGTATTAATGTACTCTACTGCATATAATTTGTGAACATTTACATGATTTGTACACTTTGAACTCCTTTTTAGGCTGAAAGGGACTGAAAAAATTCATACCGAGAGATTCTTTTAATTCCTCTCTATATATTCTATTCTCTATGCTTGTGTCACAGGATTCACAGCTGCAATATCTACGGTTCGACTTAAGGAGTATTGTTCTCATAAAAACCCGGAATGCGTCAATTCCTACCATGAAAATCCGCCAAATAGAATATTAAACCGGAGATGGAATTTAAAGAATTTGAGCCGCGGTTTAAATCCGCCAAAGCCCGGTTTAAATTAAGCGCCGGCTTAAATCTTGAAACATTTGATACAATTTTAAGTTGGACCAACCATATTTAAACCGCGGCTTTAATTTAAACCGCCGCTCAAATTCTTTAAATTCGGCCACCGGTTTTAAAACTCAACTCTGTGGAAAATAATATGGAGCTTGAATCTGAAAGCTCAAGCTGTATATAAGGCCCAACGACAGCTTAGACCCGAGCCGTATTTTCCTGAAATTTTTTTAACCGCGGGCTCAAATCAAACTAAATTCTGTTTTAAATGTTTACTACGCATTGAATTGTTGTACCATTTATTAATGCAATGAAGACAATGAATTCCAGCCAGCTCTATGCAGAGTTATGCCGTTCCTATCCATCTTATCACTAGTTCGATGGAGTCAATGCATGAATAGGAATGGCACTAATCTGCATAAAGATGGACATAAAGCAATAGAGATGGTCATAAAGCAATAGAGATGGACATAAAGCAATAGAGATGAACATAAAGCAATAGAGATGGACAAAGCAATAGAGATGGACATAAAGCAATAGAGATGGACATAAAGCAATAGAGATGGACATAAAGCAATAGAGATGGACATAAAGCAATAGAGATGAACATAAAGCAATAGAGATGGACATAAAGCAATAGAGATGGACATAAAGCAATAGAGATGGACATAAAGCAATAGAGATGGACGTAACATTCTAATTATTGCAAAACTACAATCTTATTAGTTATATTGGGTTGGGAAATAAGATTGTCATAGAGAAACAACTCTAACAGTCCTGGGTTTCTGTAAGGGATGTAAGCATATGGAATGCTACAATGTATATTTGTGCAAATTGTTTATATAACTAGGCTTTTAAGGAGCTTCGCGCCCATCTTCTATTTAAATTGTGAACATGTTCTTTTTGTTTACATTTTAAAACAAAGAAGAAAAAATTTTTGCGGATTTAAAAAAAAAAATCGCGGATTTTCAAGAATTTAATTTACACATTTTTTTATCATTCATAAACCTTCCCTGTGGTCACGTAATGTCCCACAAAAAAATTGGGCCCGATCGGTTCAGCCGTTTTGACGTTTATTGGATACAAACAAACAAACACACAGACAGACAAGCCAAATTTATATAGAAAAGTGGATAAACTGATTAGATGAAGCCGTTAATCCTCCCTGAAGTTGAATGATGTCTGGTTGTCAATGCTGACCGGCACTAGCAGGATATAGATCAGAAACTTAAGATATTTACAAACCAGGTTCCCACCCTCCAGCTTCCCAAGCTTCCGGCCAAACTCCACATATTTTAAGTTTTTTTTTAAATTTGTATCTTTTATAAAATTATGTTCATATATTTTGCTTCAAAATTAAGATTTTTAGCATACCAGCTGGAACATTTTACAGTGCTGAATAAATACCCAGAGAGTGAAGAATCATTCAAAATTTGTTCTCACCAAATAAGAAATTCATTTTTTTACCCACAAGAATAGGGTTTCCAAGGCAAGTGGATTTTACTAGCGCGCAATTCCGTCTAACTTTCTGGCGTTTGATTTTAGTAATATTCAATTCAAATGTAATTTATTATTTTACACTCAAAAGACCCATTTTACTTAATAAGTGATTAATAAGTCACTAATTAAAATTTTTGCTTTGCAACAACATCAAATACACTGTACTGTTGTCTTTCTGTTCCATAGTTTTCTGGTTCTCACTGTAGCAAAATATCTAATTTAAACAAAAAATCCATTTTAATGTTCATCCAATGTGAACAAATGAACATACAGAAATATTTCCATTCTTGTATCTTCTGCATAAAGGAATTGAGTCTTTGCCACAAACTCTGATTTTCTAGTCTCTATATCTTTGGAACCCAATGTCGTAAACCTTTGATATTTCAAACTTATATCATTTGGTTTGACAGAAGTCGTAGTTTGAAATTTCAAAGGTATACGATATTGGAATCCAAAGATCTAGGAATTAGAATATCAGAGTTTGTGTCAAATATGCTATTCCTTTGAAAGTCACAGTTAAAATTATTAATTTTTAGATGGAAAGCCAATTCCGCGCAATTCCGCGAATATTAAATTGCTTCCTTGATCGCAATTATAGCGCAATTCCGCGCAATGAAATGGCGCAAATGGAAGCAATCATCCACGCAATTCCACTAAATGGAATCCGACTGGAAACCCTTCCCACAAGAGATGAGTATTTATTGACAACCTGAAATTCTTCAATTATGAACAACTAAAGTTTACCTTAACACATCAGTAAGCAATTTAAGGCATACTTTAGATGTTCATTAAAATAAATTAGGGAATTATAGCATAAAGTGTAATCACTTTCGTAATTAGAGTCGTTTTTTGAATTATCATTATTTTAGGGCTAAACTATATTTTCATGCACTAAGAATTATACTTTAAAAGAAGTTTAGAAATTAAAAAAAGATATTTCAATATTACGTTAGTGTTCTCCTCAGGAAATACTTTCACATTCATCGTTATGGGATCTGCAGGCCAGCGAACCTCTTCAGGTTCAGAACAGTACTTAACAGTTATAGTGAAACAGAATTGAAGACTGAAGTCACATTCACATTGGTTAATATGAGTCATTGCCATTGGCCATCTAGACATATAAACCAAATATTTAAAATTTTAGTTTATAAATTTTTTTATTTATAAAATTATTCGTAAATTATCCATTTGTGAATGCCTATGATAATTGATGAAGTGCTTATGAATTGAATGTACAAGGAATGTCATGCAAATTTATTTGTAACAGTTAATTCCCAGCATGGGTGTAACTTTCGATCACAATTTGATTTAAGAAAATAACTGCAGTTTTCACCATTTTTCTTTAATATTTATAGGTTAGCGTATTCGTTTAAAATGAATAGATTTACATATTGTTAAATTCTGGATCAAAATGTGGTTAAATTCAAACAGAAGAAACCGAATGCATCATGCCCAGGTTAGTTCAGGGCCCTGGGTAATGTTCAAGAATAATATTTAAATCTACCTATTCAGGGTTGATGGATGTAGCTTACTACACTGATTACTATAAGTTTACACAAAAGGGTATACAGAGAAATCTATTGGATATTGCTTTATTGCATGACTTTTTAAAGTGAACTTTTCAAATTAGATTATCTAAGTCATTTCCTTTAAAACTGGAGGTCAGAATTTTTGTTTTATAATCCCTAGAGAAAGCACTTTTGCATATTTTTGTAGTCCAACAGATTAAGTTAATTTCTTTCAGATGGTTTCAGGATTAATCCAAAGAGAGTTTAATCTGCTCAAAAACATCAACAAATCAGAAGCCTTACAATTTACTTTTGGCCTGAATTATTGGGAAAATACAGTTCAATTGAAATGTCTGCTTTGGATATTGTATGTTAAAGATTTTAGCCATCTCAAACAAGAGATTCTACCTCTGGTAAATTTAGTTCTTAACAACCTCTTTAATTGAACAATCAACGTCTACTTGGTTTATTTATCTTAAAGGCCACTTAGTATCTATTTTAGTTTCTGAACTTTCTAGAACTCAGTTCAGGCAGTAGTATTCATTAACTATTAAAGAATCTCTTAAGAACATGTATTCAATGCTTCCTGAATTCTCTAGAGGCTGATGGACAATGATTATTGTTTAATAACTAAAAGTATTGTTTAAAATTCATAATTATTGGTTAACAATTTTAATTATTTTCAACAATACAATTGTTAAAAAAAACTATAAATCATAAACAAAAATATTGATTAAAAACAAAAAATATTTTTAAAAGATTTCTGGTCGCATGATTTTTTTTGTTATATAGCACAATATTGCGCAAAGTTGCGCAGAGTAAAATCAAAACCATTGCATTGCCGGAAACCAAAAGACAAAAAAAGCAAGTATATAGATGCATACATTGCATCCTAAACTAGAAACATGTCGTCTCTTTCAGATCAAGGCTAGAGCACAAGCGTAAAATAAAAAAAGGGGGAAGGTGAGATTTCGTTTATTTGGGAATTGATTGGTAATCCATTGAAAAAATGAATTGCTAAAAAATAATTAAAAATCAGATATATTTTCAGTTGTTTTGTAAGAAGTACAGAAACATCTGACAATATTAAAAGAAGTGCAACTTAATTCACCATATTTTCGTGAATACTCCCTTAATTCACGATATTTTCGTAAATACTCCCTTAAATCACGATATTTTCGTGAATACTCCCTTAATTAAATCTTATGTACCTGTTTATTTTGGATAGATAACTGGAGAACTGATAAACCAAATATGCTATGTTTGCCATTTAAATTCAATATTAAATAATTTTGGCGTGTAAAAACATATTTAATAATGTATTAAAGAAAATTTTACTAAAAATTGTCTGATAAAAATCGACATTTATAGTAACATTTATTTAATATATTAACTCTAAACAGGAGGAGGGGGGGGGCGTTGAAATTCGTCGTAACCTTTATGAAATAGAAATTTAAAGGATTTTAAACTTTTTATGTATAGGGTAGGATTCAGAGCAGTAAAAAGTCCGGTCTGTGTAAAAAAAAATCCAAAATAGTCCATAACTTTTTATGACTAAAGCTACGGATCTGAAAACTATAATTATGAACAGCCCTTGAAAAATAGATATAGAAACATGTGTCACACTTTAATATTTGCTTAAAACAAAACAAAAAATATTTTTTTTACATTTTTTGGCATATTTTTCAACCCTCCCTGCACCTAAAATATAAAAGCTATCAATTTTACTATAAAAGGAATCGAGCCTTTGCTACAAACTCAAATTGTCTAATCTCTTTTTTTCAACCTGTTTGTGTAAACCTTTAATAATTCAAACTTAGATTATTTGATCCAACAGAGCTTGAAATATGTAAGGTCTACGGCCTTGGCTTACAAAGATATAGGGATTAGAAATTCAGAAGTTGTGGCAAAGACTCAATTCCTTTAAAAGAAATTCCAGATTGAATGGTAAAGGAATTGAGTTTTTGCCACAAATTCAGTTTTTGTAAAACCAATATCTTTGCAGCCTTATGATGTAAACCTTTGATATTTCAAACTTACATTACTTGATCCAATATCATTCATAGTTTGAAATAGTAAAGGTCTACGACATTAGGCTTCAACGATATGGAAATTAGAAAATCAGAGTTTGTTGCAAAAACTCAATTCCTTTGTCTTATATATAAAAAAAACTGGCATCATATCTTTTTCCAATTGTAAGTAAAAATATATTTTTCAAAACATCTAAGCATGAGCAATAATAATTACTCATTTCTTTCTAAAAATTGATAATTTTCAATTTTGGTTAGATTATAAAAGTTACTTGAATATTGATGCAGTCATAATAACCCATGGCAAGAAAAGTGTACCAATATCAGGATTAGTGTACCAATATCGGGAATAGTGTACCAATATAAGGAATAGTGTACCAATATCAAACGAACAAGCATTAAGAAGATCAACTTTTGTCTCATCACTCTTCGGAGTCGCCACTGAACGCGATTTAAATGGCAAATATTGAGATCAAGAGAACACAAGGTATGATGACTTTCTTACTGTCGCGCGAGTCTTCCTTTACCAAGAACATTAATTCTCTGATGGAAGGGGAGTAGAGCCTCAGCGAACAAAAACAAAAGCTCTCCGGGCTCCTGTACAAACAGATGAAGCTACGTACCCTGGTTCTGATGGCGGATGTGACGGACATAATCTTTAAAAAAATAAGCAAATGCATGTTTGATGAAAAGTGCTATCTAGTGGGGAGAAATTGAACTAAAACATACAAATCAATTAAAAATGTAAAGATTGTTTGTCTTGAAAGTGTTAGATTACTGCAGTTTATGCCTTCTTGAGGAAAATTCTTAATCAGCAGTTATATAAATATAACATTACACACACAATCCTTTTCATATAGTTTCAGTATTTCAAAAATTATGCATTTGAAGTAACTATAGTCAAGATTTCGTAAAAATGTACAATTTATTATATTATTTTTGTTCTCACACCGATGTATACATCGATAATGGATATTGTACAGAGCGTCCCATATTATTTTGGATAATCTACCAGCTTTAACGCCAAAATAAACACATAATACTCGAAAAGCCTAGCAATTTTTCTTCAATTTTTTGATTAGTCCCGAAAATCGTAATTTAGACCCAAGGACGATCTTATATGATGTGGGACACCGGCCCTGTATGTATTGTTTTTCTTAAATCTGCTAAATCAGCAATTATAAATAAGTTAAAAATTTCTTAAAACTGATTCATTACATATTGAGGTAATTTTGGTTTATCTATCTATGTATTTAAAGTACGATGGTAAGCGATTATATCACTACAATGAAGACGACTTTTTTATTTAAGTTTTTATTGTTAACAAGCTTTTTTCGAACTACAAGTCTACAAGTAATCAAAGAGAAGCTTTTTTAATTGATAAATTCTCTTGACTTCTATGTTTTTATTTGTATTCATGCTGTTTAACAGCTTAATTTACATCAAAATTGAGTTCGAAAGTCGTCTTCATTGTATTGATATAATCGCCTACCACTGTATGTAAAATGAAACTTTTATTTTATAGCCCTTTGTTTTACATCTTATTGAAATATCAAAGGTTTAGCTCATCAGGTTGCAAAGGTATAGGGATTAATATTAGAGTTTGTGAGAAGTATTGTTCCATTACATTGAATCTGTTTTAAAAATCAGACTACATTAATGAAAATATATTTAAGATGAAACACACTCACATGAAATTATTTAAGAATCACTTTTATTTGATTTTTAGTTTTATTATAAGTGACTGGCTGGATTGTTTTATTAGATATTTTATTGATTAATTGATTGATTAATTGATTAAAGGACATTTAGCTAGACATCATTTTAAGCAACCCTTAATCTTTAGATCGGCATATCCGATTAACAACAGTACCCTTATAGCATTTTTCTGATCAAGGTTTACATGCAATATTCTCCTTTGTAGAGCTGCAGAAATAAAGTGCCATGTAAACCGCGAATTTACACCAGCATAGAGTGTAACTCAATTTTCAGCTTCAAAAATAATGACAATGGTTCAAAATAAGGATACTGTGCAAGTCTGATTTGCCCTCTATATTAATTGCGGTTTACTTAAAATTACATGTACACTGTACAGTTCCTTTAGGGATGGAAGCGGCTGATGAATCTAGGTCTACTAGAGTATCTACGAGGAGAGGAGGAAGGAGATCTCCTGTATCTAGAAGATCTAGTGTATCCTAGAACATCAACTGGACTCCTAAATAATATGGATTGAATAATGATAAGGATAAGGATATTATTTGAGATTTTCAATTTATCTCGAACTAAAATATAAAAATCTTTAATTAGAAAATTAATCAATAATTTATGAAGATGGTACAGTGATAACCAGAAAACTCTTGAATGGGAAGACAACTTTTAGAATCAAGTTATAACTTTTAAAAGTCCAATATGCATGAGACACAGCAATTGGGCACTGTAAACAGACCCATTTCACTAAATTATTGATTTTATAAGTGTCTAGTAGAATTATTTACTTTTCAAAAACATCAAATACACTTTAGTATTGCTATAATGTCGTCTTCTTATTCCATTGTTTTCTGGATATCACTGTAGATTGAAAAGTTTTCCCCCTGCACTCATAATACAATTGTCTACCATCCGACGTGCGTTGACAAATAAATTTTACATAATCTGCATCATATTGCACGCACCCCTGACCCTTTAGTAAAAGTAAATTCAACTTAAAGTCTGACCGCGTCAACCTTGTTGCACCGGCTAGTCATATTGAGTGTCTGCTTTAATTACCCAATGTCCGGGCGATACAGTACAAACTGGGACCGGTGAGGTTGACCCTGCTCGGAAATTCAAATGTACTACGGTTGCCCGTGATTGTATCTATCATTTCAATTTTTATTATCATTTAAAAAAATTTTAAAGGAATAGTGTACCAATATCAGGAATAGTGTACCATTATATATATTTAAATATCTGAGAAGTGATGAATGCATCTGTCAATTAGAAGATAAATCAGTAAACATCATGTTTTTAACTAAATACTAAAAAGGTGACAAAATCAGATACAAAGAGACTAATGAATATTCTTTATATTTTTACCCAGCAATTGAATTAAAACGTAATAATTCCGAAAATGAACAATCACAATCTAAGTTTAATTTCTGGATGAAGCTTTGTGTTCTTCTTCATAAGTTATAATAACAAATCTCTAAATCTATTTAAAGGGACTGTAGACTTAATTTCAAGTAATTATCTATTTAAAAAAGATCTGCCTGGTTAAACAGTGCTCTTTAAAATTGGGGAAGAGAATAAATGTAGGAAAAATACTTGTTTTTGTCTCAAAATTGATAATTTTTTGATTTTGGTTCTCTATAAAGATAACCTATGGGGGTATAGGCTTACAGCGAAAAATAATCGTTTTTGATCGCTACTAATCTAACTTCTATCTGTTGTGTCTACATCTGACGGCCAACTATTTCGGCGTTTTAAGTACATTGTATACAAAACGAATATTAAATATTAACTTTATACGAATGCGCCAAAAATAATCGATGACTTTAAGTTGTAATATCTGATTGATTTGTTTGAAATAAAATTGATATTTTACGATACAAGTCGTATATTGCAACTGCCAACTTTATGAATTTGTATGGACGCTACGTTCTTCAGTATAAGTTGTTTTTAACAATTTTCTCCTTATAGACTCAACAGATAGAAGTAAGATTAGTAGCGATCAAAAGCGATTATTTTTCGCCGTAAGCCTATACGCCCTTTTATTTTTCCCGAACACTCCCTTTAAGTCTTTTTCTTTTACCTACCTATGGTTTTGTCCAAATCATTGTTTAAGCCTGTTAGTTTTATGTATGTACAATGGACATACATTGTAATGTAAAGGTTATGACTAGGTGTTATTTGTATTGTAGTGCTATTCTATCTAAGTCTACAGTCTACAGCTTTCGAACATTTACGTACCTAAACATTCAAAATTAGATAATTTTAAAATTGAAACGTTACCAGAAACAATTATATGAAACAAATAAACAAAACTGAAAGGGACTGTAGGTGAAATTTCAAGTGAAGCCACATGCAAAACTTCAAAATATAACTAAATAATATTCAAGATTGTGTCTAAAAGAGGTCTTGTCTTAAACAAGACCCGTAACATTAACGAAAAGAAATGTTGCTAAGTGACCAAAATATAACTATAGTTATTTTTAAGAAACACTAATAACTAAGGAAGTGTACTACAGTAAAGAGAATAAGTAAAATTGTATTAAGAAAGTTTTTAATGGTTTTAATGTAAAAAAAACCACCTACTTTGAGTATCCATATTTGCTGTTGGTCTTGTAGTTGAACATTGGTCGAACCAGGTAGGGAATATGAGCTGAAGCTGATTCCAGGTAGCCAGTCAGCTCATGCCTGTAGGGTTTAAAGTTAAATCCGTGCTGGGTCAACTTTAATTGTAGTGTACTACCAAATTTTGTCATGTACTTGACAAATATTGTGTTTCACTGTAACAATTGGAACTAAAATAGTGGTCTTGTTTGTTTAACATGTGCATAGTAAAAAAAACTCATTAAAATGGTTGTACACTGAAAGGGATCACTGCCATTTTTTTACTTTGCACTGGGACAACCTGGAGACGCAACTGATTCTATCAATCAATAACTTGTCAATACCTGGGATAGTACATTCCTTGATGTGGAGCTGGAGTAAGGAATTCTCTAGTATAGCGACCAGTGTCAACATCTAGATTTGTCATCCACCGCTCCCTCATCTAAATCAATAATCTAAGTTCATTAAGTGGAAGGTACCTTACAGCTTGGCATACTTAAAGGGAGCGACCGACTGAAACAACTGGTAAAATATTACAACCAACTTTACGCTCTTATATAAAAATTGTTAAAAAATGTCTCATTGGTTTTAAATGAATCCTAAAGTTTTTCTCTTTAATACTGCACTTTCAGCTTAACTACCATGTCTGTCCCTTTAACAAGCATCACAAAAGATTCAATTACTATTGCATATTTTATTGTTAAATGATTATAAATTAAACATGGACCAAATTTAAAGGATTTAAAGGATTAACTACCTACTGCCCGTTCTAGTATATAGATTAAAGTTAAAGATTAAGGAATGATTTGAATCTGTAATTCATATTTGAACCAGCAGTTCAAATTCATTAAATTTGGTCTCAATGGTAAATTATAAAAAAAGTGTGACCCCTACAAGGTGGTAGGTAAGGACTGTCGTTTGTCTTCAACCCACAATGCTTCCTGATTTTTCGGCCTGTTTAATGGTACCGGCTGGTCAATTAAAAAAAATTTAAAAACAACAAAATGCCTGAGGTTCAGTCAATTGGAAATAGAAATAGATACTGTGAGATTCCACATAATTCTAGTGCTTGTATCCGCGGAGGAAATTGATGGCTGATCGTGCCCATGTATAAAATGGTCTTTTTTTATTAAAAAAGTTTAGTGGGTCCCCGGGAAGGACTGTAAACAAAATGTTAAGTCCCCCCCCCGCCCTCCCAGTTAAAATGGTTCTCTTAACACCTATATATGTGCAACAAACATAAATATATCGTCTAAAAAGGTTTCTAAATTATTGCTGCATAAACTGGGTGTGAAACTCTTTAACTTAAGGGCTATACTTGTAACCTGAGGCCTGAAGGCACCAAATTTTTTTAATGTTGTTCTTTTTTTTGCAGAGAGTTTTGTTGTGCACTAACCTCTGATTTAGCCCTGGAATTTCGACACAATGTCTCATTGAGAACATCTATTTCATTGTACTTTCCTTAAAAAAAAGACAATTACACGTAAAATAAATTATGACTTTGAACAATGAAAAACATCATTTTCCTAGTCTAGGATTTTCTTTAATTTTCTAATTCCTATATCTTTGCATATTTATCGGGGCTTTATCAATGCATTGAACTGATAAAATTACCTTTCAGTGCAAATGGGTATCTGCTAAGATAGTTTTGTGACATCTTGGAATATTTTCGATTTCGTGGATTTTTTCTCGAGATTGCGTAGTTTCGTGTTTATGCTTTCGTTAGTCTTTCAGGACTGAACTCTCTGATTACTAGTATAAGATGACCGTTAGATCTTAAGACTCAAATTAATCCAATACAGGGGTAATTCATTTACTTTTTATATTTGGAGTTTAAACATTGAAAACGTTTCATCACTTAAGCAAAAAATAACATTTTGGTTACTCTCAACATTTTCAATATTTTGCGCTGAAATCCTGCAATTTATTGCAACATTGCTGATCCTAAGATGCATGCAGCTGCATTTTTCAAATTTTGCACTTTTTGCAATCCCAATTTAATGTTGTCACTGATTTGAGAAAGAATTCGAAGTATACTTGTATAGGGTTTATCTGTACCTGGCAATATGACATGTAATTTCTATAATTATACAATATGTGTAATGTGTATGTATTCATGTATTGATCTATAAAGATTCTTAAAAATTCAAATAAATGTATAAAGTAATTGTTTAAAAAATATATGGAGTGCCCTGCATTTCCTAGTTTTATATTATTTTCCCCATGCTTGAGATTAAATCAAGGTTTTAGCTGAAGTACCCGGCTTTGCCTGAGGAATTTTAAAAAATTCAATTTTTCTTAGCTTAGCCTATGTGAGCCCTGAAGTACCCCTGGGTTTGGTCAGATTAGAACGAACATATAAATATTTGAGCGAAGAACTTTATTGTATAGATTTTCAATTGACAGGAGATCACACATATCTGAAACATGTACACTGTACAGTTTACCTAATAACAGACAAACATTTATAACACTTTTATTTACATTATTTATGTAATAAAACTAAAATCCCAACTTTGAATTAGAATTTATTATGTTTATTATAAACACTCAATTTGAAACCCACTGTACTGCATCTTTTTATTTACATATTTATTTTTTTGAATTTTAATTTTAACAATATTCTATAAATAACTAGATGATAGCAAGGTTGTAATGCAAGGAAAGTTAATTACAGTTGCGTATACTTTGAGTACATATTGAAACCAGTTCTCTCTGGGCGGAATTTGTAAACAAGAAATGATGCATCAGTGTTTGTTTAGTATCCGAGGAGGTTAAAAGCATTAAATTTTGATAATTTTGATAATCCACATAATAGTTTCCTATGACCAGAATATTTCATTGACTTTTTTATGTGAAAGATGGATCGCATGTACGTCACAGGCTTCGACATCCGTCTTGTGATTACATTACCGCCCAGAGACAGTACACTGCAGTACAAAAGAATTCGTACATCTCTGAAATGACTTTCCTTGCATTAAATCTTTGATAGCAGATGAAAAATATTTTGACATTACTATATTTCTTCTTCTCCAATTTCATCATCCGTCATGTTCGGTAAATTAAAAAAAAATTGTGGACATCCTAGCAATTGCCGGGCCTCTGTAATGTATCTACAAATTTGCTCTATTGACCGCAATCTGTGCATGGAACTCTGTGAAAGGACGGATAGAAGGTATTCTTTCCTTTTCTTCCTGCTTACATTTCAGATCATGCCAAATTATTATTATTATTATTATTATTATTATTATTATTATTATTATTATTATTATTATTAGTATTATTATAATTATTATTTCTACCTGATTATCTAGATGTGTACTTCTGGTAAGCATAAGACAGCTTCCTATATCAAGGTATTCACTGTTGGTCTTGGAAAGTGGTGGCCAATGCACATCTAGATATTACAAATAAATTTATGTACATTGTACATTGCAAAGTGTAAATGCTGTACATTGTGAATGATAATCCACGATAAATTTAACAGTACAATGTTTTTTTGAAAAAAAATGTTTTTTTTTAATGGTAAAGCCTTTGTTTTTCAGATCAAAACCCTTTTATGTTAATTCTAACTAATTTTTTCTTACGGCATGATAATATTTGTATGTAAAAAAAAAATATAAAAGTCATTTTTTATGAAATTGTTAAATATGCCTTAGAAACAAAAGTCTGATAGCGTTTTTGTCTTTCTCTAATAAAACCAATGCCATTATTTTTTTTTACAACAGTAAGCCTCGAAGAACTACAGCGAAGTAATATTAGAGTCATTTGTATTTAAAGATATAAAATCCCTAAAATTTGTCCGTGAAAGGGACGATTGCGCATTTCTTTCTTTTAAAAAGCAATGAAGAAGTTTTAAAATAAAAACACTTTTCTTTTTTTAATGAGTTTCAAGGATACCGTTGTGAATCGACCATTGTCATCTTTTTCTGGAGGGTCACTTTAAATTATGCTTACAGTGCCTTTAAGAAAATATAAAAACCTCATAAAAAGTCTGCATATAGTACCAAAAAAACTCTAACCTGACAATTTTGGAACACCATCTACGGCAAATGAATAAACCATATCTAAAATAAAGAAAAGTTGTAAACACATATTGATATATTTAGATGTAGTTACTATTCATGAAATAACGTTTTGGGAGGAAAAGGATGGATTAAAATTATTTTTTTTTACAGGAAAGAAATTGAGTTTTTGCAGCAAACTCAGATTTTCTAATCTCTATATTCTTGCAACTTTATGTCTTAGGTCTTAGATAATTTAAACTATGAATTCTGTTAGATCAATTAAGCTTAGTTTGAAATATCACAGGTTTACACCCTCAGGATACAAAGTTATAGAAGTTGGAAAATTTAAGTTTGTGACAAAAACTCAATTTCTTTAAGCTTAAAAATCCGAAAATTTTCCGTAATTTTTAAACTCAGAAACATTAATTATGTTTTGTAAACCTGGAAAAAATTTTATTTTTTCCTGCATGAAGGTTAAATAACAGACAAAAAGAAACAGAAAAAGGGTGACCGCAACAAAGTTCTTAGAAAAAAGTCCTAAAGTAAAAATCCTTAAAGTAACAAAGGAATTCTCACATTTTTGTGGTTTTATTTTATTTTAAAGGGAAAAAATGTTCACAAATCTAGAACCCTGGGGCCTTTAATGGCAACTTTTTGGACCTTTTATTTCCGGCTTTCTTCTAGAAACCTTTTTCCTAGACTCTTAGATTTAAGCTAACACCCCAAAAGCACTAATTTTTAATGTGTAGAATTTTAGGGAATATAAAACTGAATTTACTAATTTACTAATTTACTAATTTACTAACCAACTAAATATTTTTGTGTATTCTTTTGTTCTTCAGTTTTTACACGTGTAGGGAACCCAGGAACATTAAACGGGAACAAGAAACTAGAAATGTTATTGTTATTACTGTAATTACTACCAAAGATCATCTCCGTGGCAAACTCCATATTTCTGATTAAAGGGATTGTATCCAAATCTCCGGAAAAAGAACATTCGACCAATTTCACCCATTTTTAATCTAAATTATTCATTTTTAACTTATTATTTAAATTTCTAAATTTTTAAAATAATGATTATTGTAATTTTTATTGACCTTCCCTTTAAAAAGTGTATTTCCGATTCCACGTGGTATCCTATAAATCATCATTCGAGCAATGACTAACTTGATTTTTGCCTTGAAACTAAACTTGTTCTATAGAAGTCAGCCCAAGTTACAGAGTTAGCATATCAAAATTTGAGGCAAATCGTTCAAGGGGTTCCTGAATTTTGATCGGACAGTTATGATCCCGCTTTCCAACAGAATCTAAATTTTTCCAAAAAAACATTCGACTGAGAATTTTCTTAGCTTGGTATAAAACGTAAATTTTCTAGCTTAAATAATGTTTAATTCTCACTTTTTCCTCTTTTTTTCTAAAGCTTTATAGAGAAACTACATTTCAAAATAAGCAGGTTTAAAATAAGTTGGATATCTCATACATTCTGAATAAGACAAAACTCTGAAGGTTACTGTTGGGACTCGGTCATGAAAATCTATAAATAGGAAGTCACATGAAATTCCATCTACACGGTTCCTTTAGAACGACAACTTGATTAGACGAATTGATTTTAAAATATTATTTATCAAAATATTACGATATTTTCAAGCTTGTACAGTGAGACTAATGCAACTATGGAATGGGATGACGATATTTAAACAATGTTTAAAATCTGTCTAAATCTGTCTAAATCTGACTAGAATCTTTCTAAAATATGTCTAAAATATTTCTAAAATCTGTCTAAAATCTGTCTAAAATCTGTCTAAAATCTGTCTAAAATCTGTCTAAAACTGTCTAAAACTGTCTCAAATCTGTCTAAAATCTGTCTAAAATTTGTCTTAAATCTGTCTAAAACTGTCTAAAATCTGTCTAAAATCTGTCTAAAATCTGTCTAAAATCTGTCTAAAATCTGTCTAAAAACTGTCTAAAAACTGTCTAAAATAGTTGGTTTACCTGAACAAATCGAAAACTGAAAAATCTGGAGGAGAGGTCAGGATAAACGTGTAAACTGAAATTAAGGTTTTTTTAATTTATTTGAATTTCTAACACGAACCTTGGTCAATTTTCTTTGCTCAAACTTGTCAAAGCTACGAGGTCACAATTTCGTACCAGTAATATCAATGTGTTCTATCTGTAGAACATTTGTTTTCTTAAACCAATCATAAGTAAATTGCAATAAATCCAGCAAATGAGATGACATCAGTACAGTTAACCACTTTAAAGGACTGTAAGCGTAATTTCAAGTGACCCTCCATGCAAAAATACAATGCCTTATTTAAAACGATACTCTTGAAACCTATAATGATAAAAAATGTGGAAGAGATATCGTCGTTTTTTTCATTCAAAAAGTGTTTATTTCAGTGAATTGCTTCTTATAAACAAGGAATGTGCAAGTCACTTTCTCGGAGAAACATCAAATAAAAATAAAAAGCTTGAAGATACAAAAACATGAATATCTATTTCATACTTGATCAGACAAAGCTTTTAAGGGTACCGTTGTAAATCGGGTATTGCCATTTTTGCATGGAGGGTCACTTGAAATTAAGCTTCCAGTCCCTTTAACTAACAGATTGTTATGAAAGTCGTAATCCCAAATGCGTTGGTCAAGATGTTTTCAGTCATCCAAGGACGCAAGAAAATTAAGCTAGTGTGATAACACCAAAAACCAAGGTATTTCGACACTTCAAAGTGGACCCAGTTGTTTGAACCTGGTGTACCGTTACTAGCATAGAAGTCAGCTATCACGAGACAAACCTGGTGTTTCATTACTAGCTAGAAGTTACCTATCACGAGACTTACCTAGTGTTCAATTTCTAGCTAGAAATTAACTATCACGAGACTAACATGGTGTTCCGTTTCTAGCTAGAAGTTAGTTATCACGAGACTAACCTGGTGTTCCATTACTACCTAGAAGTTAGTTATCACGAGACTAACCTGGTGTTCCATTACTACCTAGAAGTTAGATATCACGAGACTAGCCTGGTGTTCCATTACTAGCTAAAAGTTAGCTATCACGAGAATCACGAGATTAACCTGGTGTTCCATTACTAGCTAGAAGTTCCCTATCACCTGGTGATCTATTAATAGCTAAGAGTTCCCTATCACGAGACTAACCTGGTGTTCCATTATTAGCTAGAAGTTACCTATTACGTGACTAACCTGGTGTTCCATTATTAGCTAGAAGTTCCCTATCACGAGACTAACCTGGTGTTCCATTATTAGCTAGAAGTTACCTAGACTAACCTGGTGTTCCATTATTAGCTAGAAGTTACCTATTACGTGACTAACCTGGTGTTCCATTATTAGCTAGAAGTTTGCTATCCCGGTCAAATGAGAAAAAGAACCAGGATAAGCCAACCATATCTGTTAACTAAAATAAAAATTGGCATTTTTAATGAGCTCAAACCTTTTGAGTTTTTTTTACCCCAGGATCCAACCGGTGTGCTAAATTTAGGACTCAAATCTTTCTAATTTAAATAGATTTTAGATTAGGGCAATCAGACCCAAAATTGTTGACAAGTAAAGATGTTTAAAGGGACTGTAAAGGAAAAATAAAAGGAGGTATAGACTGAAACCTGAGAATCTCAGGAGTTGATTGAGACATATAAGAGTTCTATCTGATGTTCCTTTATAGAGAAATTGATACAAAACTGTGTCAAAATTATACCAAAACATATGTTTGTAAGATTTTGTATAAGATTCGTAGTATTAAACAGATCATATTCAACAAATACGCAACCAATCTGAAAACAACGATATCCCAGAGGAGTCTGAGAAACTCAAGTTTGCTCCTATTATTATTTTAATTTGATAATTTTTATTTTTAATAGATATAATTGATAATATTATTTATGCGTTCGGAACATGTCACCAGAACTCCAACCAATGGCAGTGCAGTATTATTGTCACGTGTCTCCATCTGTATCAGGTGACCAGTATACTGCAATGCCATTGGAGGGAGTTCTGGTCACGTGGTACGGACATATATCTTACATATATACGTTTTGTTATAATTTTTTTACATTTTTTCAATTACACAATTTGAAGAATACGTGTCAGATGATTAAAGGTTTTTCTGCATTTCTGGAACTTTAGAAGCTCATAGCGTTTTTATAGAGTAGAGCCCATATTGGTAATAAATTTTCATATTTTTGGGACACCCTGTATAAAACCAACCTTGAGAATATTCTCCTCTGAGTATGGGACCTCTGCAGGGTTCTCTACCCCGAAATAGAACCTGGAGATGTTCTTTACATCGATCCTGTCCTCACAGCTCATCTCATCCCGCTCCCTGGAATATCAGGATTTAGGTAGACTTTCTAATCGGAATTTTGCGGAATTGCGCGGAATTCTGCGCTCTTAATTGCGCTAAAGTAAAACTTGCTGGAAACTCTGGGTTTCGGGAACTTCGAGGTTTTTTATTTTTGTAACTTTTTTAACTTTTAAATTTCCTTAATTTTCAAACACTTTCTGTTAATAGCTAGCTAAGAATTTCGTGAAATGTTCTGTTAACATTTATGGACCTCCAAAAGTTTTAGAAATTCAATTTTTTTACTATTAGTGATAAAAGTAAACTAAGTTTCATAAAATTAGTTCTCTACCGATTAAATAAAAGAAGTGGGGCCCATATACTCCACTCTTTCATTAGAAGATGCCACCTAAAAAAGACAAAATATTGATAAAACAAAATATTTTCTATAATTGAAAAACTAAAATCACCTGCTAGGCTCTTTGAAAAACTTTGCTGTAAGAATAAGGCCTACAAAACAAATAGTTGAACCAATTATCATTCTTCGTTATTTTGATTATATTAATATTCTTGGTATTTTTATTAAAATATCATTACTATTTTTATCATTATTATCACCATAATTATGTACATAATTATGTACTATGATTAGAATCGAATTATCATTATTATTATTATCATTATCATTATTATCATCTATATAATAAAACAAGACATTCGTATGTATATATATATATGTTGTGTATAGCCGACCAAACGGCTAAACCGATTGGGCGGACATTTTTTTCAACATTTTTTTTCCACGGGCAACGCCGGGCCCTTTAGCTAGTTATTATTATTATTATTATTAAATTAACAGCTTCAACGTATCCTCTAATATAAAAATATATCTTTTCTATGCAAAGTTTTAATATCTGTATAGGCCGGTTTGCCTCAAATTTTGATTGGGGAACGCGAAAGAACCACGGGGATGCTACTATGGTTTAAAAGATATAAGTTGAGAAGGTTGACATTTAAAGGGGAAACTTATTTTTCAGACAAAGCTGGGTTCCCAAGCTCGTTCAGAGAAAACGAATACTTGCCTTGGATGTTTCACACCAACGCGATCGTGTAGACTTATGTAAAACTTTTAATTTGTAGAATTCGCAGTTCGTAAACTGAATTTTCGATGTTTTTTGTATTGTTTTAACCCCTTGTACTGCACGCGTGTAAAATATCTAAAAATTTTACTTTTTAAAAAGTTCAAAATCTAAGAAGACCAGGAATTTAAAAAAAATAATTAATTGGTTTTTAAGCGGATGTTGAATTCTCTGGTTATACCTGGGAACCATAGGTTCAGCAGCGTGTGTATCTAAGCAAGGAACCCAGGGCATAGGATGGCTTGCATCCCAGTCTTGGAACAGTGTGCTTAACTTTAGGATAGACTTTGCAGGAACACTTTGGAGAAACAGTAAAACCTAAATATGAAATCATTAAAAATCTACAAAAAAAAAGTTATCATAAAAGCTAGACCTTTAAAATAAATATTGTGTAAAACGTAGTTTCGTAGAAAGTTTCATAATCTTGTATCGAATTTTATCCCACACTAACCTTGTCAAAATCTTGTATTGAAGTTTATCCCACACTAACCTTGTCAAAATCTTGTATTGAAGTTTATCCCACACTAACCTTGTCAAAATCTTGTATTGAAGTTTATCCCACACTAACCTTGTCATAATCTTGTATCGAAGTTTATCCCACACTAACCTTGTCATAATCTTGTATCGAAGTTTATCCCACACTAACCTTGTCAAAATCTTGTATTGAAGTTTATCCCACACTAACCTTGTCATAATCTTGTATCGAAGTTTATCCCACACTAACCTTGTCAAAATCTTCCAAATCTTCACATCCTAGTTTCTCTGCAACTGCCAGGGCATACAGTCGGGGTCTTCTATCCTTGTGAAGAAATGTCGTCGTTGGTGTCCCAGAGAGCGCGATAACTCTAAAAATATTTGGGCATGGCCACTTAGTAAGTAAAATATAATAATTGGGGCGTTTAGCTGTTCAGCTGTTTAGCTGTTCAGATGTTTGTTCAGGTGTTTAAATATCAAATGATCGAATCTTCAGGCGTTTATGTATTCTGATGATAAGGCGTTTAAGTATTAGGTATTCAGGTTTACATGTGTTAATGTTTAGGTTTTCATTTTCAGGTGTTCATGTTCAAGTGGTCATGTAGTTGTTCATTTTCAGGTGTTCATGTTCAGGTGTTCATGTAGTTGTTCATTTTCAGGTGTTCATGTTCAGGTGTTCATGTTCAGGTGTTCGTATAGTTCTTCATTTTCAAGTGTTCATGTTCAGGTGTTCATTTTTAGGGTGTCCATATTTAGGGGTTTATGTTTAGGTGTTAAGTTGTTTAAATGTTTCGTTGTTCAAGTGTTCATGTATTCAGGGGTTCTGATGTTCAGGTGTTCGTGTGTTCTAGTGTTTAATGTTACCTGTGAAAAAGCCCCTGAGATACAGGAGATACAAGGTGAAGCAGAGCAGACATTGATCCAGCACTTTCACCCATCAAACTTATATTAGAGATATCTCCACCAAACTCTAGAATATTTGAGGTATTTCTACCAAACTCTAGAATATTAGAGGTATTTCTACCAAACTCTATAAAATTAGAGATATTTCTACCAAACTCAATAATATTAGAGGTATTTCTACCAAACTCTATAATATTGGAGGTATTTCTACAAAACTCTATAATATTAGAGGTATTTCTACTAAACTCTATAATATTAGAGATATTTCTACCAAACTCTCGAATATTGGAGATATCTCTACCAAACTCTAGAATATTAGAGATATATTCACCAAACTTTAGAATATTAGAGATATTTCTACCAAACTCTAGAATATTAGAGATATCTCTAACAAACTCCAAAATATTAGAGATATCTCCACCAAACTCTAGAATATTAGAGATATCTCTACCAAACTCTAGAATATTAGAGATATCTCCACCAAACTCTAGAATATCAGAGATATCTAATATCTATGATATTATAATAATAATAATAATAATTCACCTGTAATATTTTCATTAATCCATTGAAGCGCAAGAAACTGATCATGAAGACCCAGGTTTCCTAATAAAATAGTTTTAAATGTTGATCTTATAATATCAATCAACTTCAAATACCCTTAAATTCATTAAAAAAATTGATTTTCTAATTTACATGTTAGGCATCTTTTGTTGGTTTAAGTGTGTAATATTCAATTCAAAAATGGCAGTTGAAAACCTCTTCTAAATGTAAAACATCCCTTATATCATTCAACAATTGACACCAATGAATTGAATTAGATTTCCTTTTTTATTTATTTATCTATTTATTGTTAGTTACCAGGACATTCATCAGTTTCTAGAGTCAAGCTGCCCAGTGTTCCAAGACGATAATTAAACCCAACCAGGACAATATCTTTCTCCAGTAGTATCTTAAATAGGACAATATCTTTCTCCAGTAGTATCATAAATAGGGCAATATCTTTCTCCAGTAGTATCTTAAATAGGACAATATCTTTCTCCAGTAGTATCTTAAATAGGCCAATATCTTTCTCCAGTAGTATCTTAAATAGGACAATATCTTTCTCTAGTAGAATCTTTAATAGGACAATATCTTTCTCCAGAAGTATCTTATATAGGACAATATCTTTCTCAAGTAGTATTTTAAATAGGACAATATCTTTCTCCAGTAGTATCTTAAATAGGACAATATCTTTCTCCAGTAGTATCTTAAATAGGACAATATCCTTCTCCAGTAGTGTCTTAAATAGGACAATGTATTTCTCCAGTAGTATCTTAAATAGGACAATATCTTTTTCGAGTAGTATCATAAATAGGACAATTATAACATGTGGTGTTCCTCAAGGAAGTGTTCTAGGGCCCCTGCTGTTGCTGCTTTATATAGACGATTTGCCCATTGCAACATCTTTTTTTACCAGCCTTTTTGCAGATGATAATAGTTTTTTAAAGTCATCTCCTGACATTGCAAGCCTAATACTAGATGCAAACACTGAACTAAAAAAAGCAGCAAAATGGTTTCAAGCAAATCGTTTGTCACTAAATGTCTCCAAAACAAAGTATATAGTATTTAGAAATAGAAATATGCACTTTGACCCCAACAGTTGTAATTTATCATTAGGAAATGAGATACTTGAAAGGATTGGTAATGACTGTGTGAACAAATATTTCAAATTTGTTGGTCTTAAACTTGACGAATTTTTAAACTGGGATTTTCAAATTGAATATATCTTGAAAAAAATTGCTAGCTCAATCTTTGCTTTGTCTCAAATTAAGAATATCTTACCATTAAACATTCGTCTACTTGTTTATAACTCTCTTGTAAATCCTCATATTGAATATGGAATTGTTACTTGGGGAGGGGTTAAAAACTCTAAACTGCAAAAAATCAGATCTTTGCAAAAAAAGGCAATCAGAGCGGTTAATAATAGTACTTTCAAGGCACATTCAAATTCATTATTTTCAAAACTGAAAGTTCTTAATCTTGATGATACATACAAACTTTGTGTTCTGACATTTATGCATTAATACTGTAATGATGACCTTCCCTCTTCCTTCCAAAATATGTTTAAGTCTTTAGCTGAACCGAATAGAACAAAATCATATAAATTAGAACGGGTTTTAAACAAAAATTTAGAAAGTTTTCCGTCCTCAATGTTTCCTAAATTGTAGAATGAAATTAAATTAGACCTTAAAGAAACTAAATCTGCAAAAATATACAAACAAAGAGTAATCAATATTTATCTTGAGAATTATGAGAGGTTTAAATGCGAAAAAACTAGCTGTAAATTGTGTGAATAATTTTTATATAAAACAACTAAAATAACTGAAACTTTATTAGCTTATTTCTGTTTATGTAGCTACTATCATTAACACCCTGTATTTTAATTTATCTCTACATAAAAATCCCTCTGATCTCACCCTGCCACAGATCACCTGACAATCTCCTTCCTTCCAATCAACTCCTTACCTATCCAAAACATATCTTGATATGTGTAACCAATTGTATTCAGTATCGTTAATTAACTTCGGGCCAACCACTCAAAACAACCAACCCTGGTTAGGCGGGCCCAAACTGCATAGTAAATTGTGATTGCTTATTTGTAATATCTCAGGCTTTGTAGTTGAATAAAAAATATGAAATATGAAATCTTTCTCCAGTAGTATCATCAGGCATACTGCCTGAATGCCTAATTTTACCTTTACTAGGCTAAATCCAAATTTAGACCTACTTCCAATCTTTGGAATTCAACATTTTATAGCTCTTTGGAAAGCCAACAACTTAAGGAAACAGATTGCACAATTTCTGCAAAAAATTTGCATAGATTTTTACACAGACGCCTTAAAAGGGAATTTGCACAATTTTAGTTTATCTTAAATACACATTTAGGTTTTGACAATTTAAAAAATTTTTTTGTATATTTTGATTTGCCGGGTCAAAGGCTTTTAAAATGTATAATTTATCATGGTTTGCAAACTATTGTTTTTGAGCATTTTTCTAAATAAAAATTTATTTTGCAGAATGTAAAAATTTTTGCAAATTTGTGATTTTTTTGCAGATTTTCAAAGTGGAGCCCAAGGGCTTTCAAGACATGTACCATGTGTTATAGATTTGTATCACAATAAGGTAATAGAAGGGGGAGACCTCCGTCCAACTCCCCAANGCGTCTATTTTTAGTAAACCAGTCGGAACAGGGTTAAATATAAATGTAAAGAGACCTGGGGTCCGTAGAGTAAAGATTCACAAGAACCAACAGCAAATGCTCCGCCATGAATAAAAACAACAACAGGAAGTTTGGCAGTGTCATCTAAAACAACAAATTTTAAAAGATTCCACTTTTGATAAAGATCGTTTACACCTTCTTAAACTCAATCCGGCCTCAGAGACCAGAATTAATTAATAGAAGAATCAGGCTAAATTGAACCAATTCTCTTTTGTTTGACTTGGTGCATAAGAGAACTGAATACACCGGCAGCAGTTTACCAACTTGCTTCTTATACTTCCCAATATCATACTTGCCACTTTTACATGTACATTATGCATTGTACATATACATACCTAAGGTTTTAGTGTACACATTCAGATATAAACAATCCTCATCTCCTTCACTGTACATCATACCATAATTATAGTTATTATCATTATTAATATTATTATCTTTCTATGTAATAAAACAAGACATTCATATATATGTTCCCTCGGGCCGGCCAACATAAATAATTATTATTATTATTATTATTATTATTATTATTATTATTATTATTATAGTTCCCTAAGGTAATGTTTATCAGGGGCTAAAACATTAGGTTGAAGAGATTTTTTTGATTCCTTGGTTCCGTCCCAAATTCCTGTCCAGGCTCCGTAGGGTCGGGATCTTCGAAACCTAGACACAACTCGTATTCTTATTTTATATAATAATAAAAACACAAAAGCATAAAAACAGAAAAAATCTTGAAAATACCAGGACTATGGGTATTCGGTATTTTGTGATCAGTGGTACAAGAATTTTAATTTTAACGAATCGGATGCCACAATTTAATTTAACTCATCTCTTAACTCAGTTTTTCCATTTAAATATGATTTGTACCTGAGTTGACCGACTGGGGGAAGTGCGTACGGAATTCCTCGGAAGCAGAAAATATTCTTTCCAGAATTTGTTTTCAGTCTAAAATGCCATGGTTTATTTTCGAGAATAAATTTGATTAAACACAACAATATAAGGTGTCCTATTCTTGTATTATACAAACTGGTACAAGGATTTACATAGTAAATAAAACCTGAAGTTTTTTTAAGGGGGAGATATCGTAAGAATTTAAGACTTTTCAAGGTAAAAAAGAAAATATCTTCAACATTATTGATGAAATGTAGTTTTAAAAAGTACTGTTGTAAATTGAACATGCCCCCTTTTAGTAGAAAGTCACTTGAAATTACAACGACAGTTCCTTTAAAATAGTTCCAGGTCGTCATTACCGTCTCATCCTTTGCAGGTTACCCTGTATTACCGTCTCATCCTTTGCAGGTTACCCTGTATTACCGTCTCATCCTTTACAGGTTACCCTGTATTACCGTCTCATCCTTTGCAGGTTACCCTGTATTACCGTCTCATCCTTTACAGGTTACCCTGTATTACCGTCGCATCCTTTGCAGGTTACCCTGTATTACTGTCTCATCTTTTACAGGTTACCCTGTATTACCGTCGCATCCTTTGTAGGTTACCCTGTATTACCGTCTTATCCTTTGCAGGTTACCCTGTATTCTCGTCTCATCCTTTTTAGGTTACCCTGTATTACCGTCTCATCCTTTGCAGGTTACCCCGTATTTACGTCTCATCCTTTGCAGGTTACCCTGTATTACCGTCTCATCCTTTGCAGGTTACCCCGTATTTACGTTTCATCCTTTGCAGGTTACCCTGTATTACCGTCTCATCCTTTACAGGTTACCCTGTATTACTGTCTCATCCTTTGCAGGTTACCCTGTATTACCGTCTCATCCTTTGCAGGTTACCCTGTATTTCCATCTCATCCTTTACAAGTTACTCTGTATTACCGTCTCATCCTTTGCAGGTTACCCTGTATTACCGTCTCATCCTTTTTAGGTTACCCTGTATTACCGTCTCATCCTTTGCAGGTTACCCTGAATTAACGTCTCATTCTTTGCAGGTTACCCTGTATTACTGTCTCATCCTTTGCAGGTTACCCTGTATTACCGTCTTATCCTTTGCAGGTTACCCTGTATTACCGTCTTATCCTTTGCAGGTTACCCTGTATTACCTGGATCCTTTAATTTCCCCGCATTTACTGATAATCTTGGGAGAGGAGGAGCAGCAACAACAAGCCATTGTTAACAAATTCTACAATAATATAGTGGGAACCAGAAAACACTGGATTGATTGTCATCATCTTCCTTTCTTTTTAATTTTTCCTTTTATTTTTTTTATTTGTAATGTAAATATGTGCCTTGAACTTTTTTTAGACATGAATCATTTTCAAATTAAAAATTGAATTTCTTTGCGACATTTTTTCATTTTCCAATAATATCTTCTCATTAAAATAGTAAAAAAATTAAATTGCAATTAATTTTCTTTTAAAAATTACCAATGGAGTGTTTTAAGTCAAATAACAAAATGCAACTTAATTAAGCTACAAAGGAATTAATTCTTAGGCCCAACATCGAGAAGATATTGGGATTAGTAAATTTGAGGTTGTGGCAAAAAATAGAGCCATTTCTTAACAGTAATATTGGCTACAACATTTTACCAAGAAATAATCTTTAAAAACGTATTTTCCGGAAAGTTAAAAGTTTTCTGAAGTTTATCAAATCAAATCAAATCATGAGTGTTGGGGAAAGATTTAGGCTCCATTTCTCCGACTGGAGTTTCAAGTACCGAACTAGTAATGGTTTTTAACCAAATAAATAATTGTAATTAAAACAATGTTCAAAAAGTAATAATGCCAAGTTATTAGGACAATGTATGTAGATGGATATAAGTTCTTTTCATTAACTTTATTTAAAAAAAGATAATTGTGAACAATGAACATTAACAAACTAATGAAATGTATAAAAGTTCTTTTCATTAACTTTATTTAAAAAAAGATAAATGTGAACAATGATCATTAACAAACCAATGAAATGGATAAAAGTTCTTTTCATCAACTTTATTTAAAAAAAGATAATTGTGAACAATGAACATTAACAAACTAATGAAATGTATAAAAGTTCTTTTCATTAACTTTATTTAAAAAAAGATAAATGTGAACAATGAACATTGACAAACCAATGAAATGGATAAAAGTTCTTTTCATCAACTTTATTTTAAAAAGAAGATAAATGTGAACAATGAACATTGACAAACCAATGAAATGGATAAAAGTTCTTTTCATCAACTTTATTTAAAAAAAGATAAATGTGAACAATGAACATTGACAAACCAATGAAATGGATAAAAGTTCTTTTCATTACCTTTATTTAAAAAAAAAAGATAAATGTAAACAATGAACATCGACAAACTAAAGAAATGGATAAAAGTGACTTTACGGTTAATCTATTTATGAGGAATATGTTTAATTAACAACGAAAACCTTAAGAACTTTTTCGGATCAAGAGCGTCCATGAGATATCCATCCTCTTCTCTTTGAAAATTTTACATCTTTTCGATGGGGTTTCTGCCTTAGACTTGAAATCACTTATATAGCATCGATAAAATCTTGTATAGAAAAGGCTCGTCTAAAGAATACCGTAGTGAATCGGGCTAGGTCACTTCATGTTATATCCTTTAATATATCTCTTTAAAAAATGAAGAAATAAAGATTTACCAAAATAAATGCAAATATGGATTTCAAAACTTGTCTTAGCATTTCAGATCTCCAGCCACCTCCTCATCGCTGTAAACATATTTTACATTTCTGAAAGAAAAATCGCTGCAATTTATCGCCACACGAATGCAATTTATGCTTCGAATTTTAATAGTGAAAACTTTTATCTTTTTTAATCATTTATATTTTTACTCCTTAACTAACCTGACGCCATGCATTTTTTGGCTTTTCTTAATCAAATAGATTAGCAAGTACAATAGGTGGCAACATAGAATTGGACCCATTATACACGACGTCACAAGTGAAAATATAACAAGGAAAACTAAATTCTAAATAAAAAAGTGTAAAAACAGAAAATAAAGAACACATATTGCACTTATTTCACTTTTAGATGAACACTTAGCCTAAAATTATCACTTTTATTAATAATTTTGCCGGGCACAAAAATTGATTTTACACTTATGACGTAGAGTGTACAAATTCTACGTTGCCATCTATTGTACTTGATAATCTATTTGCTCTTAATAAGCGTAAAAAAAAGATATTTTCCTGAAGTGGCAATTCTAAATATTGAAAAGTTTTAATGATAAAAAACGTTAATTTGCTATCACAAAAATCCCCTCCCCACGTCCCCCCCCCTCCCTCAATCTTCTGGATGGAAATTATAGTGTTATACAACTGACTTGTTATTGTATGGAACACAATTTGTTTGATTCGATATGATTTTACTTATTCTTGGCTGTTTTAGAATTAAGTATACTCCACGGAGTAGAATTAATTTATTTCTTGAATATTAACTGAAAAAAATAAGTAAAATTGTCACACACAAAACAAACATGTTTTGAAAAAAAATTTTTTTTGAAACTAAACTTTTGCTTTGAAATTTGAAACCAAGCTAAAACCAGTCCCGTCGTTCTACCTTGAGTTCCCCAATCAAGGGGTTCATGAGTTATGATCGGACATCCTAATAAACCAGATTAAAATCAAATTAATACATCATTTATATCTATACACGTTTAACTATTTTAGATAATTTTTAAATGTTCGACAAAATATTTGGGAAATCCATGAAATTTCAAGATAACCGGTTTTGCTGGGACAAATTACAATTATGAATACATGCCTCGGAATAATAAAATGACTTTTTGTCCCAAAAGATAGAATAATGTTTGAATAAAAAGAATATGTAAGTTTCAAGCATTGCGTAACGATACTATTTCACAAGCTACGGTATTTAAATGTCTTATCTCTACCAATCCACTGAATAAGTAGAACTGACTGATATCTCAGGCACACAGAGCGCAAACCGATATGTCCTCATTCTGAAATCGTATCTTTGAGTACGAATTTTTAAAACTGAATACAACATATATCAAAAGTTGAATATATCTATAGTTACAATAAGCGGATTTTGGACATATCTACAAAACGAAACTGAAATTTTTAATCATCCTGACAGAAACAATCTCAAGAACTGACGAGGGTCAACCCAGACCGAAATATATTTTCAGTAAATGTGGAACTAACATCTACTTTTTTTTACTCTACAGAGGTTTGATCCATCACCATCACCGAATTTTAAATTTTCTATAAAACTTGTAGTTTTGATCCCCATTATTAAATGATTTTTTTTACTGTGTTATTTTAAACAAAGAGTATAGATTATAGATTGAGCAACATGAAACGCGAATTAATCGTCGAAAAAAGAGAAAATATTATGCTATAATGCTTCTAATAATTTGTGATTGCAACACTGTTATGGTTTATTAAAGAGACTTCAATACGTAATTTCTAGCGCAACCATAGTGCAACACTTCATATTTATAGAGTGGCATATGTCCAATTCACATTTATATTTTTTATAATTTATTTTTAAATAATTTTTTTTAGCAAAATTTTAAAAAGAGCAGTGAATTTTTTCTCTGGCTGTTGTATCTTCTTTTCAGCTGACCATACATCTGTTTTCTGTTCTTCTCTTTTAGCTACGTATTCTTATCACTTGTAGACAAGGGAAAAATACATTTGGGCACATTTTTCTGATTTTCTGTTTTTTTTTCATCCAGCTATGGTTCATAATTATACATTCATACTGGTTGGAAAAATAAAATTTACTGCTAAGTATGTAGAAAATATCGTAGTAATCCCTATATTTGTTAACCTGAACATACCTAGATATACTACGGTGTAAATTGTCTGTAAAATCTAATTGCACTTATAATTAACTACGCAAAATATAACTAATGCAATTAACCTAGCCTAGCTACATCTGTATATACGTCAAACCATGTATTGTGATTAGCTTTACTATGCCTATATATATATCCGTGCATATCTTGTAAATACCTACATTAAACTTAATCTGTAACATAGATATCTAAAGAAAAGTCAGTTGGAAAATACTCCATTTAGATTACAATGAGAGAAGTAATTGTTCCTCCTTTAGAAAACAAGTTGATAGTTTACGAGATGGAGTCCAGTTTGACATTGATAGTCAAGATCATGCCCAGTGTTTGGAATTGATAGTTTACGAGACTGTGTCCGGTTTGACATTTATAGCTCAAGATTGTGGTCAGAGTTTGACATTGATAGTCTACATGATTGTAACCGGCTTGACATTGATAGCTCAAGATTGAGTCCAATGCTTGGCATTGATAGTTTATAAGATTGTGTCTGGTTTGACATCGATAGCACAAGATCATGCCAAGTGTTTGGCATTGATAGTTTACAAGATCGTGTCCGTGTTTGACATTGATAGCTCCAGAGATTGTGTCCGGTTTGACATTGATAGTAAAGTGAGATTGAGTTGTACTGGATAGCTACAGGTNGAGTAGGGCATGTACTACAATAGTGGTAGCAGCAGTACGGAAACTTAGTTAAATGTCATAGACTCTAAGGAATGAAAGTAAAGTGATTACCTGGTTTAACTGGGAATAGATAAAACTGTGTCAGAAAAAAACAGTAACAGTGCAGCAACAATTTAGGATTGCTACAAGAGTACCAGAATGTATAGTGTACCAGAGTGTAACAGTGGACAGTTTTAGTTAAGAAACGGATATCAGAAGACTAGACATGAAGGAAACCAAAAAAGAGGGTGGAAACCTTCAACACAAGGAATGGGAAGCCCTATAGCAGAGAATGGAACAAATGGAGTTGCAAGGTCAGAGAGTAAATGAAGAGTTGGAAACCTTGAAAAGATTGACAGACTGAAAGCAATGTCAGGGCAGAGTGGGAATATTACTGAGACACAACAATGCATAGAATATCTACAGGGCCGGGAGTAGAGAAAACTGGGAGTACGTACAAGGAGATGTGTGAAATTTAAGTTAGTTTTAAAGAGAGAATGCTGTGTTTTAACGAGAGTGCTCCCAAATATAGTTGAAACCAGGAGAAAATATCCAAATGGTGCAAAATTTGAAAACACATTTGTTTAATCATGAATGGGAAACAATCCCAAAGGAAGCAGTGAAAAGGATGCTGTGGTCTTGCATCATTGGATCAGCAAGAAAAGAGATAGTGTTGTTTTGTCCTACAGAGTTAGCATTTGAGAGATATGAAACAGGAGTGTTTTTTGAAGAAATGTTGAAAAGATTCTCACAAGAAAATCATGATGAAAGCCAGAGACAGGAATACCTACTACCTAGACAAGAAACAGAAAAAGGAGGAAGACACCAGAAGAGCTCATACTGGCAAGATGAAGTTATATTGGAAACACAGTTCCTATGTTCCTGTTATGATCTGAGAGTTACTTATAAAAACATTTATTCCTGTTTCGAGGATTTTTGGTAATGAAGACGTCATTTTCATATTTTCCAGGAATGTTCGAAAACAAGTTGTAAGCTAAATATTATTTAAAAAAATAAAATAAAATCATATTATGAAATATCAAATATATACAAATGTGGCGAAAGATAATCGATGACCATAGGTTGTAATATCTGAATGATTTGTTTGAATTTAAATAGATTGTTTACGGTCTAAGTCGTATGTTGCATCTTTCTGAATTTGTATGGACAATACGTTCTTCGAAATTAGTCGTTTTTAACAATTTTCTCCTTATAGACGCAACAGATAGAAGTAAGATTAGTAGCGATAAAAGCGCTTTTTTACCGCATTAAGCCTATACCCCCTTTCATTTTTCGCAAACACTCCCTTTAAGAGAATCTGAGTTATACCTGAATAGATACGTGTTCGAGAAATTGTTATGAATTAGACATTTACTACAGGGGGTCACTTGAAATTAATCATAAATTACCTTACGATTAAAATGTAGTTCACTTAAATATTTACTTGTAAAGGTGGTATATTATTTTTATTTAAATGCTTGGAATCAATATCCTATGTGGGCACTTTTAATTTTGAGGATAATGCATGAGATGCATAAGATGGGAGTGGGAGATCAATGCCTAATCCCGGATCCCGGGATCAATAATTTAAAAGTTCTGACTTCTGAGTTCATTGAGTTTATAATGTATAGTCGACTAATGTTTACCAAGGTAATGTTTACTATCTGAACTTCTAAAGTGTACACTGTGGACTAGTAACCAGGGTTGTGTATATACTGTATAGTAGAATAGAGAACTAAAGAGGAGAGGATGTATGTATATTTCCCCCCAGGGCTGGTTTTTCATCGGCAGAGGCGTCTCTATGCAGCACGGAGGGAGGGGAGGGAGGGGAGGGGGGAAGGGTCCACCTTCCAAGATACTAATTTTTAATGTTTACATAAAAGTTTATGTTTCCACCGATCTTCTTCTTAAAGAAGAAACAAGCAATATATTGTATCCCTATCAAATCAAATCAAATCATTCTTTTAGGGACGTCCTACACCGGCACACTCCAAAATTGAAGTGACTATACTAAATCAATAATGAAGTGAGGTCTTACGATTTGTAATTTTTGCCTATAAAGTAACTATTTACACTTACATCTAACTCGAATTGTCTCATCTTTTCAACCTGAAGTCCGATATCTTTGATATTAGAAATATATTAACTATTTAATCTAGCAGAAACCGATATATCAAAGCTCTACAACATCAAGTTACAAATTATAAAATTATAGTATATGATGAATATATGTTTCCTCTACTCTTTTTAAGAAATGTATACCGAAATATATAGGTTACGATGACACAAAGTCTCACAAAATTATTTCTTATAAACTTCTTTTGAATTTGAGTGTTTCCACTTACGACTTAACATGTGAATATTAAAGTTGATAAAAAAATAATTATATTTTTATAATTGATTCTAAATGTAGGATTTCAAGTTGTTAACCGATGCTTTTCGACTTCAAGCAGGCATTCTTCTTTCTATTACGCGGATTTTCTGTTAAAAGCGCCTTTTTAAACAAGCAAAGTCTATACAATGATATATCATCTAAATCTTACAATATCTACAACATATGCGATGCATACAATGTACATTTACAGCTAGTGCAGTAGGTTATGAGGCGAGTGGCCCCTCAAACTCAAATTTTCTTTAAAACCTAGAGTTGCAAACTTGTGATATTTCCAACTTGATTAGAATTCATAGTTAGGTCTACGATTTCAAGATTCAGGTATACAAAGATAAAGAAATTAAAAAATCTAAGTTTGAGACAAAAACTTTTTAAAGAAAGATTATATCTAAAAATTTTGATTTTTTAAAATATGATTGTGTTTAATTATTGATAAAGTAAACACAATTTGTACTAAAATAAATCGCAAACATAATGTTGCAATGAAATGATTTTATGAAGATGAATTTGTTTTTGTCACACTAATCTTTGATATTTTGTCAAAACTGTCAAATATGTTTTTATAAACTAATTTATTATTATTTGGTAAAATATTTTATTAGTTAAGAGGAGTGAATAATTTTCCCAGTTCTTCCCAGCAGTATAAAGCTAACCACACAGAAGACAAAGGTAAAAACAATTGGAATACCATTTTAAAAATGATATTTATTTGTCTTTTGTTTTATATTTGATTTTGATGGTTATTAAATCTTGTAAAAACCTTTAGTCCCTGTAAACCTTTGTTTGACCAAGGATATTGGAAAACTGGTTTTTTCTATCTGAAAATTTATTATACTTTAATTGGGGTTTATCTATACTTGCAGATTTTCAATAGAAACAATGAAGAAAGAAATACGATGGAATTTAATATATTTAAGTTAAATAAATGACAATATCTCCCTCAGTGTGACTCAGAATAAGATTAAAGGGCTGTGAGTCAGAGGCATGCCACGCAATATATATTTTAAAGGGTCACTTTTAGAATAACATGTACAGTCCCTTAAATTGGGCCTACCCATGATTGAAGTATATTATTATAATTTTAAATATAAAATTTTAGTTTTCTCTTTCATTAGCTAGAGTACAACTTTTAGTATTTATTTAAGCTCTAGTCTAATTGTAAGGGGAAGTAATATTTGAACACCTTTATAAGGAAATTAAGTTTAAAATGTTCACCAAAAGAAATGTTCCTTAATTTTTTTTTATATTTGCGATGCAATAAATAAGGTTCAAAACAGTGCAAACAATGAGGTTTCCCTCCAAAAAATTAAATTTGCAAATAAAAAATTTTGGATCACATTTTATTAAAAGTGAGGCAGGTTTCAAAATTATTGGTGCATAAGACTTTTCGTGCATGGTTTATCTGAGTATCACTTAACAGCTTATTGTTCAACAGCTTTTGGGCATAAAATGTTGTAAATGATTGTGCAGAGTTCTGTTTTCTTACGCTCAATATAGTGTTCTATATCGGAGGCAAAATATATTTTTTATCCTTCATCAATTGCGAAAGAAATACTTGCTTTTTGGAAGGAAAAAATTGGAGTTACGTAAATTTTAAAATGTTCATATGTTCTAATGTGGCCCATTTTTTATGCATGTGATTAAACTGTCACACTGTAAATGCTAAGCACACACTTCTCAAGAATTGGTAAATACCGGAAAAAAGTTTATAATTGGCAAACCAGGGGCAGTAATACTTCAACCTTCTACTGGATATATAAACCAGGGGCAGTAATACTTCAACCTTCTACCGGACATAAAGAGTTGGGTAAGTGGAGTATCCTACAGCATTGGCATACTAATCTATAAAAAGGATAATATTGCATATTTTTTTTAAAATGACAAAAACTAAAAACATGGCCAATTGTATGATAGAGTGAGCCCTGCAAGATGGTATAGGCAGGGCTAATCAAATGCAGCTATAAATACTTGTACTCAGACAATACTTCCTGGTTTAGATCCGGGTCTGGTCAACTCAAATCTTGTTCTTACAATCTACATAGTCCTCACCATGAAGGATAGAAAAATATTCCTAGAGGAGACCACAAGTGTAATATTCATCTATTTTATATAGTTAATCTAAAATTTGATTTTTTAAAGTTTCATTTTCTGATAAATTGTACAGCTTTTTTGTACCATGTACCAAATGGTTTTAAGATTTATGATTATGAAGGGAAAACTGTCATATTTTTGTATGCGATAAAAGCGAATGATAAATACTTTTATTTTGAGTTTGGTCTTGAGCAAGGCAACCTGGTGTGGAAGTACCTGAAGTTCTTAATTTTGATCCTTCTTGTGCCGGTCAGCGTAGACAAGCAGACAAAATCCTTCAACTTCAGGTAATCCGGAAATTTTAGAAATTAACTGTCAAATTTTTTCTTGGATAACTGAGTAAATACCCTTTTGCTCTACAATTGATTTTTTGTATCTAGCATGCCTGTAAAGATTGATCTTAACTGAAAGACCAAAAATTCCAAACATTTGTTTCAGGATTTTGTCTCTACGAGCTGGATTTAGTCTGATCTTATGGTCTTTCCTGGGAATAGGTCTGTATTATCCCTACTACTACCATGTTTTTACATCTGAAATTCCCTTTGATGATGTTCTGGCAGAAGCTGTTTGGAGACTCTTGAAAGCATCTTGTGTTATCCTTCTCCCAGGAACTTTAGGTTTCCTCTTCAGGAATATCCAATCAATCAATAATGAAAATGAATTGCATATTTCACGAAACTCTGAGGTACTTGCTCTGGTTGTTCTAAGTGTTTTTGACAAATTACTGGGAGTAGCAGATTACTTTTCTCAGCCAACGCACTTGAGACTAGATGTATGGATGACTTCATTATTAGGAGATATATTCTATGACTTTATTATCATTAATTCAGGGATTGGAATATGCTTATTTATTATGCAAATGCGCAAGTGTTCTTGTGTGTAACTTGTTAATAAAGTTTACAGAAATAATTATTCCAAATGAAATTGATCCAGAAAATTTTTTCTATGAACCTTTTTCAGCATGTCCCAACTTATTCTGTAATTATAGGGTTGTTGGGCCTTGAGGTTTATCAAAGGTTGGTTTCCCTAGAGAGATTAGGTTACACAGGTTACGGTCCCTAGGGCGTCTTTATTTATCAAGTTGGTTTCCCCGGGGATTTATTTTCTTAGGGTATGGTCCCCATGGCGTCTATAGTTATCAGGTTGGTTTCCCCAGAGATTTATTTTCTTAGGTTATGGTCCCCAGGGCATCTATAGTTATCAGGTTGGTTTTCCCATTTTCTACTATTAATCCATAATTCATAATGAACAAAAAATTGTGTATTTTAAACCTAAAAATAAGCACAGTTTAACAATAAATCGTTGAAATATTTAATTGTAAACAATGTTTGATTTTTAAAGGTTCTTACTATTTGCTAGTAGAAGCAGAAAATAAGGGGTATATTTGATCAGAATAAAACAATTATTACTTCTGAAAAATAAAATACCCATTTGGTTAAAATAATCACAAATTTTAAGCATCCACTATATTAAAACATGTTTCACTTTTCACAAGCTGTTTAGATTTACTCGAGAAAAGGTTGGGTTTAAGACGACATTTTACGGAGAAAGATTGTATGGTTTATGGTCTACTAGGGTATATGGGATATCAAAAAGCTGATGGAAGAGCTATTTGATTTCCATATGACCATTACAATAGTTATTACTTAATCACATGTAAGCTCATTGAGACCATTAAAATTTCTTTTGAAAATCCAATCCAACGCATATTTGATCTTCATAGTTGTTGTTGTAAATATTATTTGTGGAGACTTCATTAACTCGATCACTGATCTTGAAACTAATATCAGAGGCTTGGCTATACTTTCAGCAGAACGGATTACAGCATATGATCAGCTGAAGAAAGGAATGGGTCCGATATTGTTTGTTCTATTTTCTGTTTTTACCTTTATTCTGATGAGTGTTGTTCATGATGCAATTCAAACATTCTATGCTCAGAAGATCATCTTGGGTGTTGGAGATTTGACACTTGCTACGTCTCTGATTATAACATTAATGAATATTTCTAGCATTTCAGAAAGCTGTTTGGAAGCTCTTCATCAACTTAGTAGTTACCATAGGTAAGTACAGATTAACCCAAAACATCAGAAAAACTAAAAGAATTTATAAAACTTGAACTATACTAATAGTGCAACGCTGTAAGTTTTTAAAATTTTTAATTGAATAATTATATGAAGCTCTTTATAACCGTACCCACATATATTTGATGGCTGTTTATTTATTTTTAAAATTCCTGAGATTTAGGTATAATGGTATAAAACGCATAAAAATTGTTAAGATTACATTTTATAACTTCTTTCCAAGTCTCTAAAGTTCTGGGGAAAACTTTAGCTAAGCAAGTATTGTTTTTTTGATTGGTAAAAACCTTTTTTCTGTATAGACATATTAAAATGATGGTTTAAAATTATCCATCAAAAATTTGTGTTACCCCTATGAAAAACCTTTTAACTATTCCTATTATTCTTTTCTTGATATTAAATATGGTGTTGATGATGATCTGAACCTCATAAATAACACTCTAATTCTGAAAGTTTGATTCTTTACAATTTTATAATTCAGACATGTTTTCATGGATAGTCCTGTAGATCTTAAGTTTGAACATATGCTTGGTAAGTTTATTTTGTTTTTTCAAAAAATCTCCATTTTGAAATATATTTTTGCAAAGTTATGCATGAGATAGACAGCAAGACAAGGATGACAGCTCTAGGCTTTTATCCAGCAGACAGAACTTCAATGCTGGGTGCTGTAGGAACATCTGCAACATTTTTACTAATTATTCTTCAAAACAGTGTATTCAAATAAATAGATAAATATCCTTTAAAACAGTGTATTCAATTGAATAAATATATAATATTCTTCAAAGCAGTGTATTCAATTAAATAAATAAATTATTCTTCAAAATAGTGTATTCGAATAAATAAATAAATATCCTTCAAAACAGTGGGTTTAAAAATAATTTATTCTTTAAAACAATGTGTTCAAATAAATGATGAATGAATTTTCCTTCAAAACAGTGTATTCTATAAATAAATAAATAAATCATCTCCAGGGGCGGATACAGGATTTAAGTGAGGGGGGGGGCAAGATTTTTTAGGAAAAAAATCCATAATTAGGAACAAAAAGTCGCGCCGCAGTTGAAAATTTCTTTTGACTTAATAGAGTCAAAAATAGTCACAATTAATGACTAAAGACTAAAAAACTAGATTTTTAACTTTTCACACATTATAGTTTAAGACAGATATTTTTCCTGTTTTGCACTAGGGTTTCTTTCCCATGCTAATGAGAAGCTATTCTGAAAATAGGAACAAACAATTCCAATCTGTCAGGGGGGGGGCGAATGTCCCCCGCCCCCCTGTATCCACCCCTGATCATCTCAAAACAGTGTATTCAAATAAATAAATAAATAATCCTTCAAAACAATGTGTTTAAATAAATAAATATATTATTCTTTAAAACAGATGTATTCAAATAAATAAATAAATAATTGATATTTTAATACAGTGTAGTGTATTTAAATAAATAAATAAATTATATAGTTTAAAACCGTGTTAATTTAAAAAAAAAAATAAAAAATATTTTAAATAAATTTTCATTTTTCTTCTCTTTTATACTTTGTTTTAGAGGGGGGGGGGGGCACTGCCCCCTCTCTATCCCATGAATATGCCCCTACCTATTTAAAATTGTTAACAGTAAGAACCAGAAAACTGTGGAATAAGTGTTATTATCTGACATTGCCAATATTACTCCTACAATCGAACAAGAGCTTTACTGCATTCATGAAATTGTAATATCCAGGACTATAATATAAATGTGTTTTTGCGGTAATATTTTTAGAGAAATTCTGCCCTTGGTAAATAGCTGGGCCCTCACATCATTTAATTGAATCCAAAGGGTAATGTTAGAACGTCATACGCAACATCCCCCTGCTGAACTTCTGACCTTCTAACTTTCCGACATACTGCAATATTGGACCCTACGCCAGCTGTTTATTTTTGAATTATTTAAGGGTTAGGTTAGGTTAGGTTAAGACAATTTCTGGGCCGAGCGCCGGGGCTAGGACAGGCTAGGGGGCCGAGTGCTTTGGCCACAGTTCGATAAAGCAGCTGTAAAACCAAGTCCTAGTAGGTCGGATGTGTGGTATAGCGGATTTGGCGTAGGTAAGAAGTGGAGTATAGCGGATTTACGCGTAGGTCGAAAAATACACCATCAATAAAAAGATTATCGTTTGTGTACTTTTGGTTGATTGATTAAATTCAAAGTCAAAGACGATATTTCCTCACAAGAACATTTACCGCGCTACACTCTCTACTTATAAAATAAATAAGATTCGTCGTAAATAAAGCAAAGTTTTTAAAATGGAACAAAATGATAACTACTCAAATGATTCAGAGCTTACTAAGCATCTTCAAGCTACCATTAGGGAACTGAATCTTGAACTGAGTTCAATGAAGGATCGTAATCAGATGCTCGAGCTAGCAAGATTAGATTATGAAGAGCTTATGGATTCCTTTAATCTACAGATACGGCTCAAAAGGCAGAGCATAAAGAGAAAATTTGGAATTGGGGATAATGATGAAGTTGAAACTAAAAAAATGAAACTCGAAGAAGAGTATGTAGAGGAAGCAGAAGTAAAGGTTGAGGATGAAGAAACTATTTCAGCTTTCAGTAAGAAACATTATTTCTTTTATTCGCCACAATGGATTTTTAACTACTCAATTTCGCCCAAAATAAAAGTTGCTCCAATCGTTTTGACTAGAAAACAATCAAGTTCCGGAAGGACTCAACAATCACTGTGGAGTGGGGGGTACGCTACGCGATCCGATAAGTATTTTGGAAGTTATGGTCAAAAAACTGATTTATTTTTATTAAATTGACGATTTTCAGGACGAACGACTTAGAAAACCCGAAATGCCGGCTCAACTATCGAACCTCTATTCAAATACGCAATTACTGTAAAAATCAAATTTCCAAAAATTCTTAAAATTAAAACTTGTTAGGTCAGTAAGTTTGGGTCCGTCCAAGAGAAAGATTTTTGGACCCCCCGCCCCTTATTTAGGGTTAGGTTAGGTGAAGACACTTTCTGGGCCGAGCGCTGCGGCTAGGACAGGCTAGGGGGCCGAGCGCTGCGGCCACGGGTTAGGGGCCGAGCGCTGCGGCTAGGACAGGCTAGGGGGCCGAGCGCTGCGGCCACGGGTTAGGTTAAGTTATGACACTTTCTTTTATTTAGGTTTAGGTTAGGTTAAGACACTTTTTGGGCCGAGCGCTGCGGCTAGGACAGGCTAGGGGCCGAGCTCTGCGGCAACATGTCTTACATTTAAGATCTTCTTTCATTTAAGATCCATGTACAAAATTGTTAAGAGGGGGGGGGAGGGGTCCAAAAATCGTTCTCTAGGAAATTACCGTAAGTTTTTGTGTTGATACTTTGCTCATTTTTGAAAATCACATACATCGCAGATTTATATAGCCTTTCGATATTCAAGCCGGCATTTTGCTTTTTTAAAGTCCCACGGTCAAAATCTTCATTTTCGTAAAAAATCTATGTTTTTTGGGCTTTACGCCGCCGAAAATTATCGAATTGCATCGCCCCCCCCCCCTTAATAGTTTGTATAATTCATCCTAAAATTTTATCTTTTCTGGTGGAATGATTTTACGCCACATTTATTTTCGGTCATCTTGAAAATTCCAATTCATTTTAGTCAATTTTATTTAAATATTACTAATCCTCAGGATAAATGCTTTTCAGAGATATCCTACTTCACTATGTGGACGTGGCCGCGCAGAGGAACACCATCAAGAACACCACAGTGGAGAAGAGAGATACCGAAAACAACATATCAAGTTTTTTTTTACTTATATCCTAATTTCATTTGTCTTGTTACTTATCTTATCCTTACTTTTTCTGTTTTTGTCTAGCTACTTACCGTATCCTTGAATACAGTGCCGGCATTTTGAGATTTCAAGTTCGTCCATCGTCAAAATCGACGAATTCGTCTGACAATTTTCATCAATTTACACTTAAAAGTTAGTTTATGTTGAAAGTTTTCATTTTTCGACTGAGAAGTTTAAGTTTTCTGTTTTTGTCTAACTACCTACCGTATCCTTTGAAAACCGTGCCGGTGATCTCTTCTCCACTGCGGTGTTCATCATGGGGTTCCTCTGATAGTCAGCATCTACATAGTGAAGTAGTAAGGTAAGGTAAGTTAAGTAGTACAACTCTGAAAAGTATTTATCCTGAGGATTAGTAATTTTAAATTGAAATTGACTAAATGGAATTGGATTTTTCTAGATGACCGAAAATAAAGGCGCTTAAAATCGTTCGACCAGAAAAGATAATACCAGAAAGATTTGACTTAAAAAAACTTTCAAGGAGAAGTTGCGAGCATTTTTTGCAAACCGCAAACTTACATGGCCACCAATAATGTTTTCAATCATAATTTAAAATAACAATATTCAAAGACCTTAAAAATCATTCCACATCAAAAGGGTGCATTTTAATGGAATTAGAACATCAATAAAATATGATTTGATACCTAACTCGACCCATTTTCAGTAACTATAAATTTTGACCTCCAGGGGAGGTCATGAATAGTTGGAGGTCAACTACTGCTAGGGTGTAATAAAACAAAATCAAATCAAACTCTAAACATGACAATATACTTAGTGTTAACAGATCTTGACATATTCGAGAGCATAATGGAGAAGAGGTCAAACCGGAGGTCAGATATCTGTGTTTATGTTGGCACATGTTTTATTTGTTTGCTTAAAGTATTAAGTCTGGTCATGCTGAAATGAATTAGTTGTTGTGAACAAATTGGTATTTTCCCAATTTTCGCTGACAATATACTTAGTGTTAACAGATCTTGACATATTCGAGAGCATAATGGAAAAGAGGTCAAACCGGAGGTCGGATATCTGTGTTTATGGTGGCACATGTTTTATTTGTTTGCTTAAAGTATTAAAAATTGGCTGGTCATGCTGAAATGAATTAGTTGGTGTGAACAAATTGGTATTTTCCTAATTTTTGCTGTTTTTTCTTCTTTATTTTGCTGCTCTAGTTAATTTTATGTTGATTTAAACATTAAATAAAAATATTTTTAATTCAAGATGTACATGCTAAAGATATATATATACTGCGCATGCATTTACTGTTTGTTGTGCATTTTGAACCAAATATAGATTTGAATAATAATATTACTATTTTCAGATGGGTTGGAGGAGTCTACAGATTTAATATCTAACGTGACAGACAAGCCAAGTGTTAATGAGAATATCACCGAAGAATTAGAGAATTCTGAAGAGCTAAATAGGAATCAGGTTGAAATTGTTGAAGAACTAAAAAATCCCAAAGAACAAGCAATTCTAGGAAAGAAAGAAAAAAAAGAAATAAAGAAATCCCTACCGCAAGAAAATTTAGAAGAGTCGGAAAATCCTGAGAGAGATTTAGATAAGTCAAATACTCTGGAGAACGAAGAAGCCAAGAGAAACAAGGAACTTCATAAGTATCAAAGCAAGACCAGTATCTCTGAAAAAATGACTGCAAAAGAAAATCCTAAAGATTTAAAGAATTCTGGATCACAGGAGAACTCAAGAAAGATCATTACTATTGATACTCAAACAGTAGAAACATCTCTTTCACAAGAGAATTCATCAAACTCAGGAGAATCGAGTGAACTTCAGATGAATTCTAAAGTGAAAAATCTTAACAACGCAGAACAGGTTTCTGATCAAGAGCTGAAAACCCGGTTTCTAGACTCTGGGTTCCAAATGGGGGTTTTGCAGTATTCACAGATGAATGATAAGAGTAATTGCTTAACCAACATCAACAATCAGTTAAAGATGAGGAATAATGCTTTGCAACTAAAGTATACAAAATATTTCAATAATATGGTAACCCTGAAACAAGATAACAACAAGCTAAAACAAGATAACAACAACCTAAACCAAGAAAACGACAGTCTGACACAATCTAACAACAATCTGAAACAAGATAACGACAACCTGAAACAATCTAACAACAACCTGAAACAAGTAAACGACAAGTATAAACAAGATAACAACAAGTATAAAGAAGATTACGACAAGCTGAAACAAGATAACAACAAGTATAAAGAAGATTACGACAAGCTGAAACAAGATAACAACAAGTCTAAAGAAGATTACGACAAGCTGAAACAAGATAACGACAAGTNAATCTAACAACAACCTGAAACAAGATAACGACAAGTATAAACAAGATAACGACAAATATAAACAAGATAACAACAACCTGAAACAAACTAACAACAACCTGAAACAAGATAACGACAACCTGAAACAATCTAACAACAACCTGAAACAAGATAACAACAAGTATAAACAAGATAACGAAAAGCTCAAACAATATGCTGACAACCTGAGACAAGCTAACGACAAGGGAAAGCAAGATTACATCAACCTGAAACAATATACCGACAACCTGGAACGATCTAACGGCAACTTGATACAGGATAACGACCAGCTGACACAAGCTACCGACGAGCTAAAACAAGATAACAACAAGTTGAAACAAGATAGCGAAAACCTGAATCAAGATAACAGCAAGCTAAAACAAGATTACAGCGATCTGAAACAAGATAACGACAATCTCAAACAAGATAATGACGATCTGAAGCAAGATAAAGACCACCTAAAAAACATGAATAAGGGTCTCATTCAGGCCAAATCAGTTCGCTCTCGTCTAATAGCAAAGCTTTCTGATGACAAAGAAAAGTTAAGTGACACGGTGAGACGTCTTAAGAAAGACATGAAGAAGGCTAACAGAAAAATTCTAGGCCTAGACAAATACTCATACTCCAGAAGAAATTCTGTGGCAGTACAAACTTAAACAAAATTGTATCCATTGAGGAGAATTCTTCCAGAAGTGATGGAATACTAATCAAATCAAACATGCTTTTAGATTATGATTTTTTGTTTCGATTATGTACTGCCAGGACATTTTCTCGGTAAACAAAGTTTTCTAAATTTGGTAATTTGTGAATTACTTATGGTTACAAGACCAAAAAGAACATTTGCCTCCTTTGCTTCTTTAGCCCTGATGTGAGAAATAAGAATGCTTAATTTAAAAATTAGTATTGCTTAAATTTACTTTTTGATTTTATATCAACCGAGATTTATGATCTGAAATAACCTAGAAATTGTTTTTTTTATTCAAGAAATCTTAAATATGTCAACTGTACATCAAACATACTGTTTTTTTTTCAAAATCTATAACATGTTATTTTACTACAAGTGTTTCAGATTTTTTTTCAAAATTGTGATGTTTAAATAATTGCCAGGATATATTCTAATTTTGGTAAAAATAGTATGTACAATATTTTTTATGTACAAAATCGTGTACCAGGACTGAACCGATAAATGCGGTTAATGTAATTTTTAAACTTCCGTATTTTCAGATAAAGATGGTGAAAGGTTTAGTGTTGATCACAGGAGCTTCTGGTTTACTGGGCAGACAGGTCTTGCAGGTCTTCAAGGAGAACGACTGGGATGTAACAGGTTTGTTACGTCATTATTTTATTAAAGGGACTACAGACGTACTTTCAAGTGACATGACCGTCCATTTAAAGAGTTAGATGCCCGTATTACAACTGTACTCTTTTAACTTTTGTAGAACATGTCACTTAAAATGAAGTCCAATTCCTTTAAACAGATTTTGCACTTGTTAGTTAACACTGAATAGCTTTCAAATGATTTTCGAAAAATTCTAATATTGACGATTTTTTTTCTCATTGTTACTCAGATAAAGGTTTAAAGGGTACCGTTGTGAACCAAACATGCCACTCTGTATGTAAGAGATATTTTTGAAATTCCGTTTACAGACTCTTACACATTGTCCAACACTTGAGAAATTTGAGATATGATTCAAAAATTAAATAAGAGGGAAGTCTAGTAATATTTTTTATCTTACTCAAATTAAGTTTCTCCAATTTGTGACCCCCCATATTGAATTTGATTTAATTTCGTATTTATTCTTAGGTTTGTGCTTCTCGAAACCTATTGAAGGATTGATTCAGCATGATATCACGGACAGTGAAGCAACAATTCAACTCATCAAACAAATCAAACCAAACTTAGGTAATTGAAAACAAAATGTTAAATCAAAAAGTCTTTTTAATTTAAAGCAAACAATAGTAGGACAATTTATACTTCTCTTTCAATATGAACATTGAACAATGAACGATCGTTTTAGTAAGTAAACTTTTACGACGGTGTGAGTGTACATCCACCATTTTTCAGTGAACACAAGAAACAATAACAACAATTATAAACGATAAAAATCTCGCAGATTTTGCCGTTTTCTTCGTAGAAAATAAATTTTATCTTAAGTGATATTTGTTACCCCTGACTAGCCAATCGTGGGGGTCATGTGAGGTACTACAAAAAGTATATATCGATATTAAAGTTTTATTTTCTTGTGTAAAGTTGTTCACTGTGCTGCCCAGAGGTTCCCTGATCAGATGGAGAAGGATCTGGAGAAATCATGGAATCTAAATGTAACATCAAATCGTACTCTATCTCAGGTATATATGTTAACACTCGATCAATCAACCAATTTATTACTTTAAGAGCCCTATGTTCTATAAAATAAAGCTCAAATATATAAATTTATATTTTTGTATATATATTAGCTACACCTGGACCCAATGAGCTGAAATATTTTGAGGGAAACCATGGGTACCCGGGGGTAACAATAGACTAAAGAAATTCGATTTTAGTAAGTAAGGAAAGGTTAAGTAGGAGAATTTGAGAAAGAATTTTTTGCGGAGCCAGTGAACACAGAGAACAAAAAAAGAAAGGAAAGCATAGATGGAAGAGGAAAGACAAAAGAAAACAAAGTCAATTCTTAAAGGAAAAATTCCTTATTTCTTTCTTTTTACTTTTTACTGACTGAGAAAAGGACAAAAGAAGATAACTCAATTATGTTTGAAAATCCAGCTTTCTACAAGTCATTGGCAAATCAACGCTACATGCGATTAACAAAAATCATATCATTAACCAAACCAAATAGTTAAGCCTAAGGAAAAATAGGAAGCAAGATCAGCCCGGGTAAAATAAGTGTTCATTATGGTTTATAGGGTTACCCATGGTCAAGTTTTAAGACAATGGCGCAACACAAAACGTTGGGTATTTGACTTTCAACTGATCTTGAGCAGNGGGGGGGGGGCCAAAAATAGAGACCTCTGTCGGCTATCCTGTCCAATTGTATTCTATATAAATATATTGAGTAGAGGGTGAGACGGTTGTCCGAGAAAACCCTTCTAATATTGTTCTACGTATTCCTGTGCTGTATGGCAACGTGAAAAATCTCCAGGTAAAACAATCAAAGATTCATTTTTGCTGAGGATCCTTCTTTATTAGCGGATCCGGATCCTGTCAAAATGTATCCGGATCCAGCTCTAATATTTCCTTAAGTTTTGTTATATCAATTTCACCAAAATCAAATGTCAACAATGTTATTCTTTTTTTTCGCAAAGTTGCAAAATATGATATTTTGTCACTTGATGGATGATTTTACGAAACCAGATCCAGGGAGATAAAATTAAAATGATCAATTGATCAAATTGATCTGATTGGATCTAGATTCAGGGAGATAAAATTAAAATGATCAATTGATCAAATTGATCCGATTGGATCCGAATCCTTGGCACTGCTGAGAAATAATCTCCAACAATTATGTATAAAGTTTTTAACTTCGAATTTTCAATTTCAATGTTTTATTGAGAGGAAAAGTACTAGTAAAAGCGGCTTAATAAAGTCCAATTTTTATGCAGGTCCCCCTCCCTCAAGGCCAAATGAATTATCATTCTCTCAAAAAAAGTGTTCAGAATATCTTTACTTATTTAGTGAACATTCTTTTAATTTTAGGAAAGTGCACTGACTTCTCTCCTGGACACAGTTAAATCTGGAAAACCTGGAAAGGAAATTCCAACAAACAAACAAAAATAAATTTTGACAAATTTGGTGAATTTAATATTTTTTTGGATCATGATCAAGAAAGATACCGCAGCAACCCCCTGTTAACAAACAAAATGTAAATCAGTCTCTGAATCAAAACATAAACAAAACTCAACCTGATACGCACTGATGTTGATTACAGTCCTCACGGAATCTGCAGTACACATTATTCGTAAACAAAAATAAGGTTCCTTGTTTATTTTCCTTGATCCCTTTTTTATTTTTCATGCTTATTTTGATGTTTATTATTAACATTTTGAAGAATTTTCTACTTTTGCTGTTTTCTCGTCTTGATTTCTAAATTTTTGACAAATCAAAATATCATATTTTTAAATAGTTGACTGGAATTCCTGAATCCAGATATCCAGTTACGAAGTCCGGTGTCCGGCGCACACGGATGATATCGCAAAAATACTTCTTGATCTTGCCAATATTGTGCAAACATTGGAGGTAAATATAGTCTTTTGCAACTTAGACAACGTTTTAAATAGGTGTCATGCAAATGGAGTAATCGCCTACTGATTTTTAAAAAATAGAGGAAAAAAATTTATTTTGTATTTGGGGCGCATTTTTCATTTGGTTGAAATTTTTAGAATCTGAATATGTTTTCCAATGGACTTGAAAAAAAGTTGTAAAAAAAATCTGTTTTGGAAAGGAAAATAAAATGTGATGTTAATAATTATTCAAATAACGGTTGTGAATCGGGTATGCAACTTTTTTATAGAAGTTCACTTGAAATTTCGTTAACATTCCCTTTAGTAAAAAAATTAGTTAACATTCCCTTTAGTATATAAACTAGTTAAGACTCTTTTTTGTATATAAATTAGCTAACATTCTCTTTAGTATATAAATTAGTTAACACTTCCTTCAGTATATAAATTGGTTAACATTTCCTTTAGTAAATGAATCAGTTAAAATTCCCTTTAAGTATATAAATTAGTTAACATTCCATTTACATCAGGTATCCTTCTTTACATTTTATATTGAATATCTGTTATTTGATTTTGGTGTCTCCATACATAATCTTAAATTCAAATTCATTCCCCCCCCACACCAACCCTCCCGCTTTATAAAAAAATATCTTTTTATTATTCAATGGTATCCTGGGGGTCGGGGGTGATATAAGTATTATGTAGGCTAAAAATGTTATGAAATTTTTTTAATTCACAGGAAAACGCCGGGCATTTCAACTAATATCATTATTTAATTTCAAGTGCGGGTAAACGGCAGGAATAATATTATGTATGTGCACTTGGCAATAAATAAGATTTTTTTATTTTTATTAGCATTAAAAGTTGAAAGCAAATAAATTGATTGTTTTAGCACTGATTATGTATTTGATGGTTCGAGTCCACCCTACTCTACTGATGCTGTACCAAACCCAACCAATAAATATGGAGAATCAAAACTAGGGAAATTTATATTACTAGATTCTTAAATTTTAACTTTTGTAGATTTTTTTTGTGGATTTTGAAAAATCAATTTTTCCCCCATGAAACACGAGAGTTACCATAACAAATTTGGGTCCGATTGGTTCAGCCGTTTTGATGTTTATCGGTTACAAACAACAAAATAGAGAAGCAAAGTATATATATAGATCGAGATACATGAGTAGTAGGAGTATACTGTTTATTTGATTGTCACGTACGTCAATACTGGTTGCTTAATATTGTAATTTTTTTAGATATGAAAATAAAATGATCTAACTATTTAAATAAATACATTTTAAAATTTGTTCCAAGCTGAGTTTTACCTAATATTTTTTAAGAATTGATATTTAAAAAAAATTAAAACTTGCCAGTTCCTTTTATATTGAGATCTTTCCCCTCCAAAAAAATAACTTATTTTACGAAAATAATTATTTATTTATTTCGCTCCGCGCAAAAATGTTATAAATGTATTCCTCTGCTCAGGAGCTTTCTGGTCCTAGTCCTGGAGCTCCTAGACCTCGTGATGTAGAAATGGATCGGAGTAAACTCCTGGATCTAGGGATCAAGCATCATACATCATTTAACAAGGGATTTATGGAGGCAATGCAACCCTTCTTGTAGAAAGTGAACATCCTTCAGAGCTTAGTCATCCATCATACATAATAATAATTATATATTTTTGTGATTATCTTACCCTGGTGAAAATTGTCTTCTATTAGAGTGCTCAAGAATATTTGTAAAACTCATTTATTATAAAATTTTCAGAAAAAAATGCGAGTTATTAGCAGACTAGTGCAAGCTAGGGTTAGACTGTGTCCCAGTCAAGAAATGTTCTCTCAAGCTAACAGATTTTCTTCCAAGGACTATTCTCTAGGTTGGATCTAAGCTAAAAAGTAACATCAAGCTACGAACTGTTTGGACATTTGGTTAATTCTTAATAAATTTTACCGTGGAACACCCTTCCTTTCTTATAATCTATCTATCTATCTATTAGGACATCCCAATAACACAAATGTTACCAGGAAACCACCCCTCCCGGCAACCCTCCGCCTCGCCTTAATAAAAGCAACACTTTGTGACTAACCGAACCTGGACTAGTCTAATCAGGGGGCTTCCTGGCGGTTGTTGCTATATTTCAGGAAGAGAGGCGGGGTTCCACATTGGGTTCCCTCAGATTTTCACTTTATTTATCAATACAATGATGAATGACTTTCGATTTGAATTTTGATTTATTTGAAGCTGTTAAATAGATAATTAGATAAACATAAACATAGAAGTCAAGAGAAGCTGTCATTAAAAAGCTTATCTTTGTTTACTTGTAACAATCAAAACCTAAATAAAAAATCGTCTTCAATCTTCATTGTATTAATAGAATCGCCTACCACTGTATTTAATTAGTTATATCAGTTTACAAGTTTAAACAAAGGAAACCATATTAACAGATTTTAAAAAAATTAACTGAGCTGAAAAGTAATTGATATTTTTTTTAGTATCACATGTTCTTCAAGACCCTGTTAGTCGTTCTAGGTAATTATATGAAAACTTTAAATTGTGGTTCAAATTTTATTTACATTATTCATGGGGAAAAAATTTATCAAATATGGTGGATTTTTAGGTGTTAAAACCTTTAAGTGGTCAATTAAAACCCCGTATTTTAAAAAGGAATAATGTTTTTTTAAAAGAATTTTTCAGTATTTTAAAAAAATGTATCCAGTTTTTCTTAATTTTAATCTAAGCTCTTTTGTAGTCTCAGATGTACCTCTGTACGTTGTACAATACATACATTAAAATATACAATATCAATGCATAATTTACAATATACATAAAGTGTGTATAGGCTTTTTAGCCCACTAAATATAGTTCAAATTTTTCTAAAAAGTGCTTCATGTAGGTATAATGTTCACAAATGGGGGGTCGTCGATGAAACATTTTTCTCTGAAATGCCGTTTTTTCCTTCAAAAATGGACTTGGTATTCGAAAATGTGCTCGGTCTCCTTTTTAAAAAAAATTCAAATAAAAAACAAAACAAAAACAAAATAGAAAACGGCATTTTAGAGGAGCGTTAAGTGAGTGAAAACGCAATTAATATCTTCGGAAATGGGACTAGAAACATTTTAGAATATTATGCCATATTTTGAAGGTTAAAACGGCATTTTAGAGAAAAATGTTTTATCCACGACCCCACCACACACACACATTTGCGGACATTTTACATAATAGAAGCACTTTTAACACAAAACAATGATGTTTATTAAACACTTTTTTCAGAGACCCCTTGTAATGTATATGGGTATAATGCGTAGGTTGGAGGGCTTGAATTGAAAAAGTCTCAAAAGTTTTAGTATTTTTTCAAAGATTTATATTTTAGTGTATGGTGGGTGAGACGGGTCCTCAATAGAAACCCTGAAATGGTTTTACAGTTTTTGGATTTAGAACCTAACCCAAGGTTCTCTACTGACAGAGATTTAAGAGTTGGGAGTAAAGGTAGGCTTTAAATATTATTGGTATGTATCAATGGAGTAGCAAAACTTAAAAGAATTCTGTGTAGCCATATAAAGTTTGCAAGATTAAATTAACTTTTGGTTAAAAAGTATCAAAAAGGATGAAAAAATAACTTGCCCGGCGAGACTAATTGTTAAAAATAACCAAAAACCAGTTATATTTCATCTATTTTTCATTTCAAAGACTAATTTCTTTCCCCTCTCATATTTTTTTTAATTGAAGAGGAAACTTCAATCTGCTTTTCATAAAAGGTACTTTTAATGAAAGGTACTTTTAATAAAAGGTACCGAAAGAGAAAAATAAAATGATCAATTACTATCGTGTTTATTCAATTTAGAATTCTGATTACATTTTCTTTGTAATCAGGGTTAAACATGTTTGTAATCAGGGTTAAACAGGTGTGTTTATTTTCTCGAAAAATTTCCCCTCCCCCCTCCCCCCTCCTTTAAGAATAAATATTTTTCCCAGAAGTTCTGTATAAATGTTTAGTGTTTTATTCGTTGAATTGGGGCAAAATAATAAGTTTTAGGGGAAAATGAAAATATTAAAAAGAATGAAAAAATGTTGCCTTTTTGATGTCAAATTGTTCATTATATTTCCCAGATCATCTTAAAATCTTAAAATATACACCCCTGGTCAAGGGAAATTTCTTTTCTTTTATATAAACAAATTTTACAGGAAAAGGTTTGTCCGGAGCAGAAAATAGTAAACTAAAAACACTATCGGACGAAGAGAGACGGAAAGAAAGAGAAAAAGAAAAAGAGGAAAAGGAAATTAAGAAGAAGAATTTCATCAAGAAAATATTATTGGAATGCCAGCCTTTAGAGGGAACACTGGCAGAAGAGTATTTAAGAAATATCCGCGGGATCGAGAAAATTTCAGGAGAAAACTTGAAATTCCATCCAGGATTCACAACTAGGGTAACTTGTTTTATTCCATCAAGTATAATTTCAATGCTTAGGATAGATTCCAATATCCATCTGATCCGTCCTGTGGAGAAATGAATCCGTCTGCATGCAGCTTACAAATCATAATAATAATGATAATAAAAATATCTTAAAGTTTTACTAGTTTAATTTTATTATTTTTTTGCTTATTAGTTTACTCTGCACTTTTATGAGTTGATCAAAACCCATGAGAGTTCTATCTGATGTTCCTGTCTCTTAGAAATTCATATTTTGTGTCAAATACAAAAATCGGTTTATACCAAATTTTGTATAAAAATTGTAGGTTTGAACAGATCATATTCATATATTAAAAATTGAACAAAATTTAAACTAAAATAATAATTGGAGCAAACCTAAGTTACTTAGACTCCTCTGGGATATCGTTGTTTTCAGATTGGTTGAATATGATCTGTTTAAGCCTACTATATTCATACAAAATTTGGTATATAACGATTTTTTATGAATTTCTCGAGACAGAATCTTAAATAGAACTCGCAAGGGTTTCGAACAACTCCTACGTAACTTAGTTTTTAGCCTATACCCCCTTCATTTTTCCTTTACAGTTCCTTTAAATCCGAATTATTTTAGACGAAAACGGGAAAATATATAAAAGTTCCCGGTTTAGTTGCTGTTGCCTCCCACCCTCTCTCCTCATCTCAAAATATACAGGTCTGACAAACGACGATGGACAATGGGAATATTTCCATAGTTTAAAAGGGTCACATGAAATTACAACTACAGTGCCTTTAATTCAATTGATTGAATTTCAAAAATTGATTGATTTATAAAAAATTGACCCGTTACGTCGAAAGGACTCGCGGGAAAAGTAAAAGGAAAAACATATGTGTGATAAAAATCGGGCTAATTGAAACTTTGTGCTATACAAATAATGCCCTTAGCAATCCCTGATTTAATTTGATTTAATTTGTTTTAAGATCAATTTACTAATCAATGGATTTATTTCACATAAATTGCTTGATTTAAGATCCGTTGACGCAATTATAAAAGTTAATTGAATTGATTTTGTATTTTAAATCAGCCAATTGATTTTGGATGAATTCATTTATTTTGATTGATTAATTTCAGATAACGTTTTTGGATCCGCTCACTGCAAATAAACATTCTCAAGTTTTAGTTTCTAGGTAAGAAGAGATTTGATATAGTCTTTTTTTGCAACAATGATTATTATACAATTTTGCTTGTAAAGTTATTTTAATAAATCTAAATTTATGAAATTGACGGAAGTTCTTAACTAATGTTAATTGGCAGGAAAAATTTCAGCTTTGGGTCAATAATCACTAATCAGTAACATTACTTTAATATATTCTCTGAAAAGTTACCATTTTTTGGTATAGTTTCTTGGTATAGCACATACATTAAAAACTAACTTTTTATAATTTCGCAGCATTTTCTGTTTCAGTGGTTGATTTTCAACAAAAAAATGTTAAGGGCAAAATATTGTTGTTTAGCCGACCATAATTTTTCCACAAAAAAATTGGCCTAATCAGTTAAATCGAAGTGACGAATTGGACAAAAAAAGGACACACACATATATACAGGCAACGCAAGGTTATAAAAAGATAAAACCAGTGCTTAAGATCCATGTCATTTTGATGCGATTCCGGATTCTGGATCGTCTGGAAACAAAAGGTATCCGGATCCGGGTAATGACCATTTCTTAAAGATTTTTTTAACAAAAAAGATTTTTCAAATAATTTTTCTTACTTTTTTTCGCTGATTTTTTCATAATCTCTTTTTTGTTTACAGTATTTGGTTGATATTTCCCACCTTGAATATATTTTTGCAAATCCGTATCCAGGTGATCTAGGAAGCCAAAATGTTTTAGATCCAACGAATCCAACGGATCCGGATACTAAAAACACAATATAAAAATAAAAATGTAAAATTTCGCGGACTTTTTCAGTGGAGGATTTAAAAATGTTAGGGGGAAAACGTTTTTGTTTAACAGACCCGACCTCTTTCCTGAGGTCTACGAGTACTGACGTATAGAACATAAACAATCATTCAACGCAAATTTATCTATATCTATATAATAAACCAAGACATTCATATATATGTTGCGTATAGCCAAACGACTGAACCGATTGGGCTGAATTTTTTTAGGACACTCATGGGTGGCCGGGGGGGGGGGGAAGGGGGTCTTATAGGCTAGAAAAATCGATTTTTTTGTTTAAAACAAAAATTCCACGGACAACGCCTGGCCCTTCAGCTATTATAAAAATAAAATTTTATTTTTAAGACGAACCTATGGCGGATTTAGCTCAGGTGGAGTTTCTACTTTCTGCACAATTTCAGAGGGAAAGTCAGATGTTACATATGTCAGGTAATCAGTCATGTTTTTATAGGATTATCATTTATCAACTGATTAGTTGGTTTATTTGCACGTTCGTGGATTTATTGATTGATTGATTGATTGGTGGATTAATAGATTTAATTGATATGATTTGGTGGATTGATTGATTGGTGGATTAATAGATTTAATTGATATGATTTGGTGGATTGATTGATTGGTGGATTAATAGATTTAATTGATATGAATTGGTGGATTGATTGATTGGTGGATTAATAGATTTAATTGATATGATTTGGTGGATTGATTGATTGGTGGATTGATAGATTTGATTGATATGATTTGGTGGATTGATTGATTGGTGGATTAAAAGATTTAATTGATATTATTACGTGGGTTGGTAAATTGATTGATTGGTGGATTAATCGATTTGATTGATATGATTTGGTGGATTGATTGATTGGTCGACTGATGAATTTGATTGATATGATTTGGTGGATTGATTGATTGGTGGATTAATAGATTTGATTGATGTGATTGATGTGATTTAGTGGATTCATTGATTGATTGATAAATTGATTTGATTGATGTGATTTGGTGGATTTATTAATTAATTGATTTGATGGATGTAATTTGGTGAATTGATTGAATGATTGATCCTTGTTCAGTGAAGGTGTTGAGACGGGACTTTCTTTACTTCAGGTTTGTTTTGAATTGTTTTATTCTCAACTTTTTCATCCCGTAGATATTATTTGTTTTGTTTACTTAGCTTTGTTTTGAATACCGGATGGACCGGGAAAATTATTTATTTTTACATGTTCTTCCAGTGCTTAGGATCAGGATCCGTTGGATCCGCAAGATTTTGGCATCCTGGATCCAGATCCAGATTCGCAAAAATATGCGGATCCACCAAAAACTGCAAAAAAATGTTACTCTCAAAACCCAAATCTGAACTAATGTTAAAACAGTTATTATAAAATAATCCTGATTTCTGAATGGTTCATCAAGGTTTAGCATAAAAATAAACGAGAAGATTCGCAAAAATATGCGGATCCACCAAAAACTGCAAAAAAAATGTTACTCTCAAAACCCATATCTGAACTAATGTAAAAAGAGTTATTATAAAATAGTCCTGATTTCTGAATGGTTCATCAAGGTTTAGCATAAAAATAAACGAGAAAAAAAAGCTTAAACTCTGCTTTGTTAAAAAAAATTCAGTAAATTTTAAATAAATAGCGTGGATCCAGATCCATTTTTTTTCCAGTGCAGATCCAGGATCCGGATCCGTATCAAATTTAATTGGATCCTAAGCACTGTTATTCCAATATGACGTCAAATTTTAACAAACACATTTGCAATATTAAAAGTTCTACAATTTTCGTTTTTGTGTTTTGTGAATCGGACAAGCCACGCTTTAGCTTCACTTGAAATTAAGTCTACAGTCCCTTTCCTGCTTTAGGTTCGGCCTCATGCTCACGTGATTGCTTGTCTCGGGAAGCATAATCTGCCAAAGCTAGATCCTCAAACTACTCATCAGTAGGTTCATTTATTGAATTTTAAAATATTTAAAAAAAATTTTTGGGGAAAATTATAGATGCGGCTATTAAGGAATGAAGGAATAAGGATGATCTTGGGAAGGGGGGGAGGAACTAGACATAAATTGCAAGTTGTTCTACTCTGGATGGCATTTTTACCTAAAAATTCATTTATTTCACACAATTCAGGGAATAAAACCATGAAAAAATAATTTAAGAAATTTAAATCTTATTAACTTTGTGTCTACTGTATAGTGACCTCATTTCTTAATTTAAATCAAGTTTTTTCATAATTTTCTATCATGATCATTTGTCATTATAAATTTGGCACGAAACTGTACATTTGTCTTTGGGAAGTTGTAGCTTTCCGTCTGCGAAAGATGCTTTATTTGGGAAGTTACATATTTGGGAAGTTGTTTCTTGGCAAATTCCATTTTTGGGAAGTTTTCTTTGGGAAAATTGCATATTTGGGAAGTTGTTTCTTTTCAAATTCCATTTTTGGGAAGTTTTCTTTTGGAAAATTGCATATTTGGGAAGTTGTCTCTTGGCAAATTACATTTTTGGGAAGTTTTCTTTTGGAAAATTGCATATTTGGGAAGTTTCCTGTGCGCTCATCTTACTCTTGAACGGTAGCGCGGGGGCAGAGTCAGCTGATCAACTAAGAGGGGTAAAGGGGCGGATATTCTCTTGGAAAATTACATATTTGGGAAGTTTTCTTTTGGAAAATTGCATATTTGGGAAGTTGTTTCTTGGAAAATTACATATTTGGGAAGTTTTCTTTTGGAAAATTGCATATTTGCGAAGCTGTCTCTTGGTATAATGATGTGGATGCGGATCCGCACTGGAAAAAAATGGTATCCATATTAAATTCTTTGTTGTTGTTTTTTTTTAACAGAAGAAAAATTTAAAATTATTTATCGTCTTCTTTCTCGTTTTTTAATGCTAAAGCTTAATTTACCATTCAGAGATTATGAAACTTTTGATAATCTCTCTTTTTTTTTAATAGTTCATATCTGGATTTTTAGAACAAAAGATATTTTCTCCCCTTAATTTTTGCGGATTCGGATCCAGGAAACCAAAATGTTACGGATCCGGATCCAGGAAATCAAAATGTTGCGGATCCGGATCCGGATCCTAAGCACTGGAAAAATTTACTTCAAAAGTATTGCAATAATAATTCCTTCCCATCCCTGAGTTTTAATATGTATCTGTGTGTTTTTAGTAAAGTTGTATTATTGTGGGATAACGACGGCCTCGAGGTGAAATCTGACAAGGTCCTCCTCAGGAGCCTCGAGGTCCTCAAGAATGGAGGGAGGAGAACATATCTTCTGGTTCCCCCGCTACTTCAGGTCAGGTTGGGCATCATTTGTTTCCCACTAAAAAAAGTTTAACATATTTCTAAGTTGTATGATATTGAATGCATTAATTTCAATTTGCAAATGTCAACCTTTTTACTTTGCACAACTTTATGAATCTTGAAAAAAGATGAAATTTAGATAGACCTCTCAAATTTTTATGGAGACTTTTGAAAGCCAAAGAAGCCTGATTCCTGAATGTTTAAAAAACAGTTGAAAATGATCCCTAACCTGAACTCCAGGGTAGAGAGAAGACTGATCTAAATGATATACTCCTGGAGCTGGGGGTTGAGGGCCTGGAGGATGTACTTCAGAGTTCTCTACGCAGAGTAGAATTACGATAATTTTTTCTCATTTCTTGGATCCTAGAAATATTGTTTGTGACTACCATCCTCCCTTTAAAGAAGGGATGTAAGATTCACAACGGTATCCTAATGCATCGTTTATATAGGCTGTGAATTGGTTAATTCTCATCTAGTCCGCCATTGTTCACGCGGGAGAGAATCCACAATTGAAAATAATCAATGTTTAGAAAGTAAACATGGTTTTCTTTTTCATTCTAGACAAGAAAAAGCTTTTAAGGATATCGTTGTTAATCGGACATGTCATCTATAAATGAAGGGTCCCTTGGAATTGCATCTATGTACAACGTATATTGTACACTTCAGTCTCTTTAAAAGTATGCCAAGATATTCTTTCAGATTGGAATCCCTGTTAAACGGGTTCCTCCTTTTATGAAAAGGTTTAGATATATTTCTTTCTGTTTTTTATATACAATAAATATTGTTTCAGAGAAAATGGGGAAGAATGAGCACAGCTCCGAACTTTCCCCGGGAAAGCTCACGTATACAATACATTCGTGCACAAGGTGAACTATATAAATTCATTATTTTTTTAATCGACTTTAATTTTATAATCAAGTATTATTTAAACCGGTTTTTTCATCAACTTTCTTTTCAGTCTTTTTTTAATCAACGCTTAAATGCTTAAAAATGCACTGCACAGAAGGCGTTTTAGTTCAGGGTTACTCAAAAAGGATGAAACTTCAGAGACGACTGTACGGAATTTATTCAATTTTTAAAACTAAATTGTCGTCATTACCATTTTTTGCTTACCCGAAAGGTATACAAATCAGACGCGTAGTGGAGGTTTAGCCTAGGGGGGTGCACTTATGGCGGCATTTTTTTGTGCACCCCCCTAGAGAACCGGTATTAAGAAATAAAAAAGTTTAAAATCTATACTAATCTACCTGAAGACTATTAGTCATCTGACTATAATTACCAATCATACCATTATAAAATCTAGTAGTAAAAGAGCAAAAACCTTTAAAAAAATATATTTTTTATTTTTATCATATTTGCTATTTGTCTCTGGCTCTTGGGGGGGCCTAGGGGGTGCATGTCTAAGGGGGCACAGGGGTACCGCCCCCCCCCCACTACGCGCCTGATACAAATGATGTATTTAATGTTTAGTCATTCCAGCAGCTATGTTGCTCAGAATATTCTGGAAAATAAACCCTCAGAACAATCTTCAAGGTACACGAAATTTTCCTAGTTAAACAAAATTTTCGGATAATACCAAACTTGCCCCAAAATTATTAAATGAAAGTAACCAAAATATATTACAAAACTGTCTAAATAAACTTTTTAACTCGGCTGAAACTTGGGGTATGATGTTCAATCTTGATAAATGCAAAGTAAAGTCAAAAAAAATAAAAGCCAAGAAAAAATAATGAAGGGATAAAATCTTCTTTAAATGTCCTTCATTTTTAAATTCGTAAATATTCGATGTAATATTATCTGCGCGAATATTAATGTGATATATGCATATGCATATATGCATGCGCATGCACTTATGAATATCATAACAACAATCTGAAATTTTCTTATAAACTCCACCAGGAGTCCTGAAAATAATCAAAGCATAAAAATAAGAACAATAATTTATCAATTTATTAATTTTAATATGAAGAAGTTGCCCCGACCATCTAATATAACTCGCAAAAATGTCATAAAAAAGTAAAGGCAAATAATAGGGGACTGTTGACGTTATTTCAAGTGACCTTCCATGAACGGAATCGCATGTCAGATTAACTACGGTATCCTTTAAACCTTTATCTGAGTAACAATGAGAAAAATATCGTCATTTTTCTATCTTGTTGATTTCTTCATAGTTTCTCCTACATGAATACGCAAGTCAATTTTGCATCAGTTTTTAGCTAGAAAATCTAGGACATCTCATTTATCGATGATCAGACAAGGTTGCAATAGTATCGAATATCGATGATCAGACAAGGTTGCAATAGTATCGAATATTGATGATCAGACAAGGTTGCAATAGTATCGAATATCGATGATCAGACAAGGTTGCAATGATATCGAATATCGATGATCAGACAAGGTTGCAATAGTATCGAATATCGATCCTTGTGAATCAAAGATAAGGATTACAGAGTTACTTAAAATTTCGTTCAAAGTAAGGTTGATCAATATTGGAATTGCGTTTTCACTTAAAAAAAATTGCAATCAACAACAAAAAAGATTCTCAATCGTCCAGACGGTTTCAAATTGACGATTTAATATCAGAGAAATATCGGTAAAACCCGCTTAAAAAAATATTCTAAAAATTTTCATGTTATTCATCATTTCCTTGGAAAAATGCTAAAATCAAATCTGAAAATTGGCTTAAAAATATTGAACAAGCTAGAGTTAGAAAACTTATCAAAAACATTAAAAACTTATAAAACAGACTTTTGGACCGTTATTTGGCTATAACTTCTTTAATTTTTATTCAAAATGGTTTATTCAAAATTCAGCATTAAGTTTCCAAGAAAATGATGTGTCACATTAAGAAGTCAACTCGCAACCGTCATTTTAAATTATTTTTATTCTCAATATTTTTTTAGTGGTATATTGCTCCGACCTCAAGTGGGTGGTTGGTTGATTGCTAAATATAGTGAACAGTCCCTTTCATAAGAATTAATATTTAGATGGTCCTCAGAAAGCAATCATCCTCCTCAATTTATTGTTCTTAGACTAGATAAACCGGCAATAGTTACAGGTATTGTAATATTCTAATTCAAATCCATTTCCCCCTTCCCACCCCTAGAAAAAGTTGGGGCGCCCGCGCCACTAGAGGGATAGCTTAGGGGACACATTATAGTCCTTTTAACTTTATTTATTTAAAATAAAATCAAGAGTTTGAAGAAGAAAAAAATTAAACATTTGAACACATTAATATTAAAGTTCAGGAACAAAGACAACACATTTATTTTTATGACATTATATAGAAGATAGTTCACAAAAAAGATAGATACTCAATTTTGAGGACCAAATGCAGTCTGCACAAAATTTAGTGACACAAAGTGTCAAATTGCCCCCCAGTCCCCTTAAACTGTTAAAATTCATGTTTTTATTGTCATTGTACTTAGTCGTAAAAAGTTTGGATGATAAAAAGATTTTAAAATGATTCTTCAAATTTGGAATTGTTAGGAATTCTGTTTGGAAAATTCGAGAAGACGCATGTGTGCAACCTGAAGAAGTTCAAGGTAAAAGTTAAGATCTGGAACTACAGCCATTCTGATAATGTCTATCCTCTACTTTTCAAAAAGGGTGGGGGGGGGGTCAGGGGCCCTCAATTGAACTTTCTTTTCTATTTTTGTGGATCAAACAAGGAATAGAAAAAAATTAAGGGTTCTGTTGGGAATCTTAAACCGCTGTTTTCCCTTGGAAAAGAAATATCAATTTTGCTAAATTGAATATTTACTCTTAAAGGGACTGCAGACGTTATTTCAAGTGAGTCTCCATTCATAAAAAGTTATGTTGGTATCACAACGATACCCTTTAAAGCTTTGTCTGATCAATAATGCAAGAGAAATTCATTATATACTGATTGATAAATTGAGTATTTCCAACACTCTAGAATTGAAATTCTAGAGTGTTATCAGATTTAAGGGTACCATTGTAAATCGGGCATTGTCATCTTTACATGGAGACTTGGAGAGTCATTTGAAATTAAGCTTACAGTCCCTCTTAATTAAGAATTCTAGTTATTAAAATAATAATAGGTGTTTGGAGGTCTAGATGAATCCAGTTACATAGAACTACTGGAGAGCGGGTTAAAGAACAACAGTTCTCCAGGTTATACAGTGGGACCCTTGAACCTATGGTACAGGAAGACGACACTAATGTAATCTTATGTTTGATGTTGATTTACAGCAAATAGTTTTACCAGTATTTTGATAAACATGTAAACGAAAATGGGTCTGTGTACACTGCACAACTACTGTGTTTTCAATATTTATTGCTCTCTTCAAAATCATAAGTTGAGTCCAACAGTCGTCTTCGGATTTCACTGATCTTAGTGTACATTTAATTAATTTAGTTTGGCTATGCAGGGTTTATTGGGCTTATGAAATCTGCATCTATTAGAACTGCTTTTTATTCAATTCCAATTCATTCTCTTCTTAAAAAATCATTTTGCCCCCAACCAGAGACCGAATTTTAAGAATTTAAACCGCGTCGCTGATGTCTCGAAACACTGAAAACAATTTGAACTGCGTCTAATATTTGAGTTGTTGCTCATATTCTTTAAATTCGGCCTCTGGGTCTCTTTTTTTTAATAGCACAGTGATCAACTGTGAATAAGAAAATTTACTCGATAACATACTTCATACACTGCGTTGGCGAGGAGCGTCGACCCCTATTTCATTGAATGATGGATTGTCTGCTAATAATAATAATACTAATACTAATACTAATGCCCACTTATGGCTAGAGTTAGGCTTCTGGAAAACCAGTGCAGTGCAATATATTGGCTTCTTCCTTGGATTTACAAAATACGCATTTAATGCAATCCACGGATCCGGATCCAAGGGCCTTAAAAAATATCAAACAAATCATGCTGAAAAACGGTCTAATCTCTGAAATAGTAAAGAAAAATATGTTAATCTTGAAGTAATGGATCCGAATCCGCATCTAAAGGAAATTGATCTTATGTACTGCTTTAAAAGCTTATTGCTTTAATATTTGTTTTTTCTTTAGATAGTTTTAACTTGAAGTGTGAACTGAACCAACATTATTTTCCTTGTTCATTTATCAAGATTCAGCCTATTCAGGTCAGTTTGAAAATCCACTATGGCATTTAAAGGGACCGTAGACGCAGTTTCAAGCGATCCCCTCCATTTATAAACTGGCGTGTTTGTTTCAAAACGATACCCTTTAAAGCTTCGACTGATCAAGAATCCAACCATGATCAGTCAAATGTTAGATCAAAGGTAATTCGGACACGTCAATCCACAACTGGAGGGTCACTTGAAATTAAGCCTACAGTCCCTTTACGCTTTAAAAATAAGCATATTTCCTGAGCTGGCCTCATACTATGTTGGTCTAAATTCAGATCCTCTTCCGGATATTCCTGATACAAACTAAACTCTTTCCACCTTTCCTTAGTACTACTATCATCATAGTTCCTCTCCCTAGTTCTACTTTCATCATAGTTTCTCTCCTTAGTTCTACTTTCATCATAGTTCCTCTCCTTAGTTCTACTTTCATCATAGTTCCTCTCCTTAGTTCTACTATCATCATAGTTCCTCTCTTTAGTTCTACTATCATCATAGTTCCTCTCCTTAGTTCTACTTTCATCACAGTTCCTCTCCTTAGTTTTTCTTTCATCATAGTTCCTCTCCTTAGTTCTACTTCCATCATAGTTCCTCTCCTTAGTTCTACCTTCATCATAGTTCCTCTCCTTAGTTCTACTTTCATCACAGTTCCTCTCCTTAGTTCTACTATCATCATAGTTCCTCTCCTTAGTTCTACTTTCATCATAGTTCCTCTCCTGAGTTCTACTTTCATTATAGTTCCTCTCCTTAGTTCTACTTTCATCACAGTTCCTCTCCTTAGTTCTACTTTCATCATAGTTCCTCTCCTTAGTTCGACTTTCATCACAGTTCCTCTCCTTAGTTCTACTATCATTGTTTTGTTCAGTCCTGGGGCTCCAGTTTCAACTTCACTGTATGGTATGTTGAGCTAATAGGAGATCAAAATCCTACGTTAGGTAGGAAAATTTTAATTAATGTTTTTTATATATTAGTCATTTATGAATCTGAATAAGGGGTAAGGTGAAAAATGTTGATGAAAAAATAGTCCGCTTGAAGTTCATCTATATAATAAAGCACTTAGCTCATATAAAGGATGTACATAAAAAAGGTTCTACTTATTTTTTGAATTCTAGAGCTCCCAATATTGGCAATAAAATCTTGTGAATTCATATTTACCTAAAATTGGTTATAATGATACTAGTCCATGCAAAAAAATCTGATTTGGAAATGATTTAGTAGTTGTTTTTGGACATCTGCGACCCTGTTGAAAATTACAGCGGCCAGCTAGCTGTACAGTAGACACATCGACTCTATAAACCTTCTAAACTTAACAAAGGTTCTTATTTGTGTTCATCTACTCCTTTTCTTTAATTATGTTTCTCTTCAGGGTTGACAGGGCAGGGATTATATTTTATCTTTATCTAGTTTACTTTTTTTTATGACATCAGCAGATCAGCTATTAAAGTTGCTTCATTTTGAGGTTTCAGTCACTAAAGAAAGCTGTTCAGCTTATTACCATATTTTCGCTGTGAGCATTAAAAGCTTTAAAGTTTTATTTATGATAAGGAATGTTGCCATCGCTTCCTTTAAATATCTTAATTACTTAATTTGGACACCTGAACATGAGAGGAATCTTTCTTGATTTGTTAAGACTTTTCCTTGGATTGGGACTGGGAATATCTGAAATAAGTTTACTTCCACTCCCTTCCAAATACTTAGACAAATAGCGCCATGACTTCATATTTATTCTTTTATGCGAATATATACTTATTAAAGATTATGGTTTTACAACCTGGCAATCTGTATTCGGCTTGAAAAAGTTTTTGATACTTTTAGCATGTTGGAAAATTAAAACTTCTGAGCAAAGTCAGTTCTTGGACTTATTAAGCCACTTTTTAATATAGGATCTATCTTTGGTCAATGCAAACCTCTTCCTTATGTGTATGTCTATGATTTGGAAAATGTTCAGCTTAATATTCTTAGATTTACTTTACATAGTTCAGAGAAGAAATGGTAGGTGGGAAACTTTTTAATGTACAGTGTACACCCTTTATATTTGTTCGTATATATGTCAGCTATAGCTAACCAAACGGCTGGACCGAATGAGCTGACATTTTTTGAGGGAGCCCTTAAATACCCCAGAGGTAAAAGTCATTTTTTTATTTAATGCGAAACGCTGGGCACTTCAGCCAGTATGTAATAGTAATACGTATTTAATTGTAAGTTTCCATTTAAGAGATTTAATGTTTATATTGTTGCATGGAAACAAAGAGATGCGGTCTATTTGTTTACTTGTAAACTTGTAATTAAAAAATCTTGTTAGAAATCAAAACTTGAAAGGAAAAGTCGTCTCTTCATTGTATTGATATAAGCGCCGACCACTGTATGTATGCTGATTGTATTGGTGGATTTTCTTGAATAAAATTGACAAATAAGTCGTAAGCTGACCCCTCTGTTTAGTTCAAGAGAGTATAGACTGGCAGCAGAAGAATAAGGAGAGAGAGGCAATCAGACTCTGTCTTAAACATTTTAGAGAACGTAACTATTCCGAGGTTAGTTAGGAGTTTAACCCATTTTCCTTATATTAGATACTAATTAAATGGATGTAGTAAAAGAATTTACCAAAGCTGTGACAGTTTGAAGTTTGCCATTTTTGCTGGGATGAAAATTGAAAATCAATATAATGGAAACATTAAAAGACAAATTTATCTTTGCACGTACAAGACGTACAATCACATATTTTAAAAGTTACAAACTGTAACGGCTTAAAGGAAGTAGGACGACCCCCCCTCCCCCCTGGAAAAAGTTAGTCACAACAAGAAAAAGGTGGTTCTTTCTTAGCCCCTTTCAATTTATTTTTTAAGAAAAGATTAAAAATAATTTGCCAGGGGGCATACACAAGTCGTCACAATCAAATCATATCAAAATTTGCATGAATATACTTTTCTTCATCCGTGAACTTGAAATGCGGAATTATATTGCAGGCAAATAACGAAACTAAAGTCAACACCTTTTTTAAAAATATTAACAATGAGGTCTTACTCATTGTTAGTAAATAAGATATGCAGAATGTAGATTGTCATTTTTTTTAAATATTAACGATGATTTTTTTCTTATTGTTAGTACATTAGATATGCAGAATGTAGATTGTCAATTTTTTTTAAATATTAACGATGATTATTTCCTCATTGTTAGTAAATTAGATATGCAGAATGTAGATTGTAAGGTCCTATCATTGTTTGTTCAGTCC